ACTTGAATCAAGTTAAGTCAGAAGTCTGCTATTCGTAACAATGTCAAAAAATCATGCATGCAAAAATCAAATTCTATTTGAGCCGTTGTGCTTCACAAGGAGAATCTCAAAATACAAAAAATAAAATGGATTTTCCATTAAAAAATGGTTGGTCTTTCACTTTTGGGCTACCCTGTATATATAAAATTATAATTTAACTCTATTCTTTTTCAATTCCTTATAATAAGGAATCTATGGTACTCCGTCAGATCTTTGACCCACCCCGTACGAATCTAGGAGTCTTCAAACTTTTAAATTCACTCTTCTCGAAACGTACTTTTTGCGACCTCCATCTTTTTTCCCTTGTACCCTTCAATTCTATCGAGCGTTTCCGCATGCGAACGGCTATAAAAGCTTTCTCTTATCTAAACAAAGTTGGTACTATTTTCTATTGTATCGTATTTCAAATAGCTGGTTAAATAAATGAATATAACTAATAAGTTCGATATAATATATCGACACCTTTTATAAAAACTGGTTCGCACGCACATGGAAATATCACGAAAAATTGTGACAATAAATAATCACGCGAAACGAAGCCGTTTTTCGAAAACGATTTAAGGACAAAGCGACCTTCGAATAGACTAAAGAATTAGTCCTTGATATTTCGTGAACATACATTTTTTAAGATATCAATAATTTTGTTTTTTAATGTATCACCCTGTATCTTGAAAACTCTGCATTTCCGGACACATGTTTATAGATAATTCTTCTGATATCTTTTAACAAGGAATCGCCCACTAAAATATCTCCGTCTATTTTTCGAACACCTTGTATAGAAATCCTAGACTTTTGCAAAGAACTCCTAGTTCGTACTTTTATGCAAGCCCTTTTAAAGATACAACATGAATATAGTTCAATTAATGGCAATCATCCTTTTAAAAATATCGATTGTGTGGAGGTATTTATTTCTTAGGAAAAAAATGTAAACAACTTCTTATACGAGAGATAAGATATAAACACAACACAATTCGGTATTAACGTGCAGGAATCTGGCTTTCTTGAAGTTTTTTTTATGATAGTGTGCTAGTTATGTATTTACATTCACCATAGGCTAAGTGGAAAGAAAATCGTGGGAAAAATTTTCCAACTCGATTTTTGAATGGATCATGATGTTACCGGGAGGTAACTCGCTGCAAAGTTTAAATAATTACAAACGAAAAAAAAATCGTTTTTTCCGCCCGGACACTTTATTTTTAGGCTTTTTGGAACATCGCGAATAAAACAAGTTTTTTTCTCTGTAAAAGTGACGTTTTCGAGCGATAAGCGATTAAATATCTGAAAAGCCCAAAAAATGTTCTCTCATGTTACTCAAAGTCACAGTTAAACTACAAACCTTCTCTTACTTGGAGTATTTTGGACTTATACTAATCCTAAAATACTTCTGGGAGTCTTGAGGGTCAGGTGCGAATTTAACTTCGATACTAACTTGTCAACCTCAAAGATGATAATTTTAACCGCGTTTTTAAGCATTGAAGATCGACATTCTTAAGGTTTCTCAGAACTTTAATCTCTTCTAAAAGGAAAACGTTTAAGTTTTGAGAAAAATCGCTAATGACATTTGGCCACAACACAAGAAGTCAGTCTTGACATTATGAGCTCAAAGCTAACACATAAGTAGATGAGTACGTACCTAGCTTGCTCTGAAAACATTCATTTTCTCCAGGAAGATCGGAAGACATTATATCCAACGTGAAAATGCACTGCTCGCCTTTTATGAACAACCACAACACATTTTCACACACAATTAGCACAAAATCACTCTAACCACCATCACGACCCGACGACACTGCGGGGAATCACCGACAAAGGCTTCTCTGGACACTACAAGAACCACGCCACCGAATCTAGAAGCAGAGCGTTACAGGGAGGTCCCGACGCTGCAGACTCCAGTCACGCCAACCGACAACTGAGGTACGCTACGCGTTAGTTCGCAGCGCACGGCGTCGGTACGGCTGACGTCGCTGCGTCGTCATTGGTTGGAATTCAGCAACCCCTCCTTCGAGCTCCCAATCTTTGTTTCACTTCAATTTTTCCACCGGGATTATAACATAGTACTTTGATGTCCGTGACTACATTGTCCCTGCCTGGTCTAATTGACGCCTTAACAGTCATTTGGTAATTCAATAACTCTATTTCTCAGTTTTCTTTAAATGCAACTGTGTACAGAGTCACATGTCCTTTGGTGAGATATACTAAGTGACATATAAATCCGAACACCCAGTTTAAATGGTTTTATTTTAATAAAATTTTGTATAAGTACTTAATGAACCATAATAAGTAAATGATAAAAATTTCAAAATGATTGCACTGCTTTAAAGCCCTTTGACCTTTAATAATGTGTGGATGCACCCTGATGTGCTACGCATTCTCCAACGCGCCTAGGCATGCTTCTGATCAGGTGGTCAATGTCCTCCTGTGGTATCTCATTCCAGGCAACCACCAACTCCTCTCGAAGTGCTTCTAGAGTCTGAGGAGGACGTTGCAAATTGAGCAATCTCCTACCCATCATATCCCACACGTGCTCAATTGGGGATAAGTCGGGAGATCTTGGTGGCCATGGTAACAATGTGACATCATTATGTTGAAAGAAGTCTATTGTGACTCTTGCAACATGTGGTCGGGCATTATCTTGTTGGAAAGTTGGATCTGTCAGGGTGTCAAGATAGGGTAAAGATGGGGTTCTAGAACTTCGTGGATATAACGCTGCGCGTTCATGTTACCTCTGATGAAGATTAAAGGTGACCTGGAACCATAAGCTATAGCACCCCAAACCATAACTCCAACAGTGTGATGAACATGTCTTTCAACAAAAAACTGTGGATTCCTCCTTTCACCACGTCGCTTTCTAACCCTGGCACGACCATCGTGCATGCCTAAACAAAATCGAGACTCGTCACTAAAGACAATACTGTTCCATTCCTGATCCCAGAGTGACCGTTGTCTGCACCACTCAAGGCGATTACGTCGGTGTTCTCGAGTTAAAGGGAGGACCCAGTGTGGCCGGTATGAAAACAAGCCAAAACTTCTCATTCGTCGGTAAACACTTCGCATGCCAATAGGTCTTCCGTGTTCTGCAAACCATTCATTTGCAATGGACCTGGTAGTGGAGAAACGGTCCCTTAAGGCCAATAATCTTAGGCGGCGATCTTCACGGTCTGTTGTTCTACGGCGGCGTCCAGTGCCCCTTGCTCTTTGCGTACGGCATTCTCGAAGCCATGCCTGACAACACCTAACCACAGTGTCTACACTTCTTTGCACTGTAACTGCAATTGCCCGAAAAGAAAGTCCAGCTTCCCGAAGTCCCACTATACGGCCCCTATCAAACTCACTAAGTTGACGAAATCGTACTCTAGGCATCGTAACTGATCGTAAAGGATGTCAAGAACCAAAATCCGCCAACGTTGATTCTTTACTGCGGCTGAAATATTCATTTTTAGAGCGATAGTGAATTAAAAAAAAGCAGTATAAAAACCGGAATGTCCAACTGATAAGGGTGAAAATTTTTTCACTTGTTATTTACAGTAAGATAAATACATTCACCAACTTTTATTAAAATAAAACCATTTAAACTGGGTGTTCGGATTTATATGTCACTTAGTATATTTCTGAGCAATAACAACGGCGTGTTTCATTGCAAAGTTAAAAAAATAGTGCGCGTAATTGTCATATAGCTGGAATTGCCGCTCATTGACAGGCGTGTTGCCACTGGTATGTATTGTTTTGGCTGAATAATTCAAAATAATAAATTTTTCTACAGTTAGCGGACTCTATCACAATGTGCGCTGTATGTAGACGAAGAAAAATGTGCGTATACCTCAAATTGGGCAAAAACGTCAGATAGCAGGTATTGTCAGATGTCTGACGAAATTCTTTTTAAGCGATTGTGGTTCTGGGTATATGGAAAAATTTTAATCTAAATTCTGTCACGTTTATGTCACTCAAGGCCAATCAAAACCACAATCGTTCAAGCAATGCAAAACTGTGACCCTTGAACCGCGATAGACACTCGTGAAAAATACTGTAAATGGAGGGCTGCAGATTTACAGTTTTTTGAAGCTCATATACAGTAATCCCAAAGGTAAAGGTACTGTCGTTTCGAAACTACAAAAAGTATTAGGTTCCAATAACTGATAAATCATTAAACATTCGTCCTATTTTGCAGTTTTTAATTTTCCACGTCATACCAGATCTCCGCCAGGTTCTTGAAAAGCAGTGAACGTCATCGATCACTCCAGTGTCTGAAATGATTCGCTTCCCGACCAACTGAATTATTTCATTTAAGGAACAGGTACTGTGAAATACTGGAAAAACTCCGACACGCAATCCAAAAAAAGTAGCTTTGAGCAAGTGCTTAAGGATTCTCAAACAGTTCCTCTTCTGCAACCGTATAGTGCGAACTTGGCACCGTGTGATTCCCATGACTTCGAAGTTGAGTCATTTATTTTAACAGTGAGTAGATCTGATCAAAAGAAATGTTTTTTCCTTTACCATTTTTCTGGTAAAATTAAAGTAACAAAGTTATAGCCCTTTGGAAGTTTGAGTACCGCCCTGTCTCAATAATAATATTATGTGCTCGTGTTTGGCGACAACGGATATAATCCGCCTTATCGGTTCATCGCATCGGAAACAAAAAAGCGAAAGAATTTGGAACGATGTTTTTACAATTATTTTATTCATTTGTATAGTCAGTGTCAGTCGGTAACGCGTGAGTGAATAGTGGTGTCTGTTGCGTGGCTCAAACGTAATAAAAAATGGCACATGTTTATGCGGATCGGTTTCCCAATCGAGTGCAACCAACCCCTCGTGCCTTTGTTAATGTAGTACAACGGGCTCGTGAATCAGGTGACGGCATGCCGGTGCTCCAAGACCTCACGATCAAATACAGGTCCGCACTGAAATACTTGTCGGGAGGATACTTTATAAAACAAGGTAAATTTTTTTTATTTTTTTTATTTTTACACACATATTTTGGTTTATCTTCCTTCTACAATCATTATCTGAAAATTAATGACTCAACTTCAAAGTCACCCTGTATGTGGTACGTTTGTAAATCAATCAATGACGGATGAAATTTAACTATGGAATACTGTGTAAATGTATTTTTGGAACGCCTAAATTATCACAAAGTCTTATAACGACACTTGATGACATCATACTAATAAGAACTACGTTTCCTGTCACCATTTTTATATTACATGAAACGCTAACTACCTGCTCTTAGAGTTACAAGCAAGAGGCATTAATTTTCTGCTGGTGTATATTATATTTAAGATACGTGTAGTGTACACTAAAAATTGAGAACCAGGTAGTATGTAAAACATATCAATCATACACACATAATCATACATACAACTATTGATACTTCTCTCTAGAAACTAAATATTATAATAAGTTTCACATTATCTGTAAATATGGAATAAATATATCACAAGTAATGAATACTCAGTATGCTTAACGTATCGTTTGTGACATGTGCAAAGGAGTCAGCATCAACTCAAATGCAGCATCTTTAAGATTCGCCCCTCTTAAGTTTGCTTCATGAAGATCACTCCCAGATAAATCACAGTTCTGAAACGAAAGATGAAAAACCGGTAACAACCAAGATTTACAAAATAACTATTTTATAAGGTAAACATTTTCTCATATCGGTGATCATACCACAAATCTTATCAGATTTTGGAAAGAACAGTCCTCGTGAAGTGTCCAAAACAATTATGATTGAGGTATTTGATTTTAAGATTCCCTAGATTTTATTTAATAGCTGCAAAGCATCCAGGTTGTTTATTCCTGCTAAACTACTTAACACGTTAGGTACAACCTTGACTTATTATTTACTGTTATAGTAAAATCAGTACTAAGTTTTATGGGTTGATACTTTGTATAGGGTGATTTTAAACATACACATTTTAATGCAAGTTTCCTTATTCATTTTGCCTGCATACCTCTAAATCAGCGCCTGCCAACACTGCAGCTCTTAGATCACAATTTTTCAAATTAGCATTTTTCAAAGTTGCCACTCTAAGGTTTACACCTCCCATATCACTCCCTTCCAAAATAGCTCCCTTCAAATTCACCCCTTCCATATTCGCCCTAGTACCAGCTGGATCCTTGAAATTGCAGTTTTTCATTGTTACACCTTCCAAGTTCGCACAGAGACTCTTCACACCTACAATTTTATCTGATTGTAGACAAATAAAAAAATTCACTATATACAGGGTGACTTCGAAGTTGAGTCATTTATTTTAACAGTGAGTAGATCTGATCAAAAGAAATGTTTTTTTCCTTTACCATCTTTCTGGTAAAATTAAAGTAACAAAGTTATAGCCCTTTGGAAGTTTGAGTACCGCCCTGTCTCAATAATAATATTATGTGCTCGTCGTGTTTGGCAACAACGGATATAATCCGCATTATCGGTTCATCGCATCGGAAACAAAAAAGCGAAAGAGTTTGGAACGATGTTTTTACAATTATTGTATTCAGTTGTATACAGTCAGTGTCAGTCGGTAACCCGTGAGTGAATACTGGTGTCTGTTGCGTGGCTCAAACGAAATCAAAAATGGCACATGTTTACAAAAATGCTAAACTTGTGGACATGATTCTTATTTACGCGGCATCACGGATTTATGCGGATCGGTTTCCCAATCGAGTGCAACCAACCCCTCGTGCCTTTGTTAATGTAGTACAAAGGGCTCGTGAATCAGGTGACTTAAGACCTCACAGGGGAGGGCATGCCGGTGCTCCAAGACCGCACGATCAAATACAGGTCCGCACTGAAATACTTGTCGGGAGGATACTTTATAAAACAAGGTAACATTTTTTTTTTAATTTTTTTTTTATTTTTACACACATATTTTGGTTTATCTTCCTTCTACAATCATTATCTGAAAATTAATGACTCAACTTCAAAGCAAACACTCTGGTTTTCACAAATATTTCGAGACTCTAAATTGACACGTGATAGTGACTATAAAAAGTTTATAACCACTCAAACTGAGGAAGATTAGATACAATATAAGAAATCAAGAATAAAGTTTTTAACAATCTTAGTAATGAAAAAAAAAATATTATGAAAAAAATTCAATAGCAATAAAAATAACAGTAAACTTATGTGGAAGAGACTAAAAAATATGCTCTCCAGAAGGAATCAATTATCAAGAATGTGATTCAAAGATGGTATAGTAACACAAAAAATATTGATTGCAGAACGAATAAACGCTTATTTCATAGAAAGTATAAATGAAATTGTGGAGTCAATCGAACATGGAGATCGAAACCAATATCATATGCAATTATTTATAATTCTATGAGTCAATTCCAAACATTAAAATCAAATGGAGATCCTAGTGAACATTTTTCAAAAATGGTTCAATTCATGTACTGCCAGATGTTGAGAAGTTCTTAGAACAAAACATTGAATATATTGAAGAAAACATATTGACTAAATTTCAAGCAGGATTCAGAAAAAAATATTCTACTCAAACAGCAATTCAAATGGTAGTAGAAGAATGGAGGCAAAATAAGCATGAAAAAAGGTTTATAGTAACATTGTTCTTGGTTTTCAAGAGGACATTTGAAAATATTGGCAGGGAAAAATTGTTAACGAAATTATGTTACTATGGATTTGAAGTTTCAGTATTTAATCAATTGATTTTAAAGAAACAAAATTAGCAATGCACTATTAAGCATTAAAAACATTTTGGTAGGTGTGCCACAGGGTAGCAAATTAGGTCCATTAATATATTATTTCAAAAATATTCAAACAGATAAATTATTTTTATAGAATTTCATACAGCCTAAGTGTTTATTCTAAAAAAAAATTGTATACAACACTATCATTCTTCCTAATATGTTCTTGAAGCATCAGATCAAAGCAAATCAACCTATTCTAAGAACAAATTTTATGACTAAATTGGAAAATGTAATAAAGCCTTACCCAATAGTTGTGCATTATCCAAAATAGCATGAGACAAATCAGCCCTTTCCAAGCAACATCCACTCAAATTAGAACCTGTCAATTTACATCCCTGTAAATTAGCATATTTAAAATTGATATGCCTCAGATCCAATCTACTCAAATCTGCTCCACTCAAATTAACACCCTGAAATCTCAACTCAGCTGTACATGGGCTTATGATCAATGCATTTATAACATCTCTTCTTGTCAATGGCAAATCATCCCGTGTCCGTTTTTCCTGGACTATAATTTGTTCCAAGGTGGGTACTATTGACTCGATGCCAAAGAATTTTGCTTCCTCTAAGATACCTGCCGGATTCACCTGCTTATCATAAACTAGCTGGCCACAACGTAAATAATTCAGAATAGGTTCAAAATATGTTGGGCTCCTGTCAATGAGATATGCACCATTCTTATCAATACTGCTTGGTGTGAAGAGATAACCGTCATTGTCTTCTGAGAACATTCTAGCCAGCATACTAGAAGGCTCACTGGATGTTAGTGTTCTTTTTGAGGTACTGAAGCACTTTCCACCAACATTCAGGGTGATCCATTCTTCTGATGATGTACCAGGCCTTTCGGAAGCAGGTGGTTTGTAACTTGACCCATCTGTTACATATAGTTTATCCTTGTTTCTGACATAAGAAATATCTTTGATTTCAGTACCATCTTCCAGAAATATTTTTTGTACATTTATGTTAAATCTGTCTGAGGCATGTTTCAGTAAATCTTCCAGTGAAGATGGTAGATCAAAAATCTAAAATGAAAGGATGCATCATTATAATGCAGCTCGTTGTTGTTAGATTTAATATGTACCACTTCTTCAGAAACAACGTTTATAAGAACTACATATTTGTTACTCATTATTATCAATTTGTGAGCCCATGAATTTTACGAGGAAAATCGAAAAATTAGCCCATTTCTAAAGGGGTTCATTATTTGTTTACAGGAATCACAGAAATGTCAAATACACTTTTTTGTAAGTGACAGTTGACATAAATTTGACAGATCCACTCTGTCAAAAAATATCAGGAGTGTGTTCAACTTACCTCGGCCGTGAATCGTGTCCACGCCAGGTGCACTTTTATCGGCCTGATTTTCAACGAGTAAGAATTAACCTTGCTCATGATGCATGGTAAAAAGTCGCCGTATATGCAACTTTGTCAAGGAGATGGGTGTATTTTAACTGACATGCGTATTAGTTATGTTTTTGGAACAGACCTCTCAGGAGTGTGTTCAGACTTACCTCGGCCGTAAATCGTGTCCACGCCAGATGCACTTTTATCGGCCTGATTTTCAACGAGTAAGAATTAACCTTGCTCATGATGCATGGTAAAAAGTCGCCGTATATGCAACTTTGTCAAGGAGATGAGTGTATTTTAACTGACATGCGTATTAGTTATGTTTTTGGAGCCTTATTTTTTGTTAGGTTTCTCTTCAAAAAGGAACTGCAAATTGATTCTTGTAAATTGTACCTAGACGTCTATCGTCAGTGGTTCCTACAATTGTAGGACGCTTTTATGACCTCCTTGATTTTCATCACGTGCGAATTCATTGTCACTTCGACATTTTCCTCAAAAAACCAGAGACCAATAATTCCAGCTGAGGAAATTGTACAGTACACGCCTTTGATGCAATTCTCGAGGATTGGTGTCAGCTCAGCAGCGCAGGTTTTGTTTGTTGACGGTTCTACTTATTTGTGTTGCGGAGGTAAAAGTATCAACGGTGGTTTGCATCGCTTTGGGTTACAAGTTAGGGTTACTTAACTCGGAGTTAGCGGTAAACCTAGGTTAAATTCGAGTAGCTTTGCACCGTCCAGGTTTAACTCTGGGTTTATAAACCCCGACTTTTGGTCATATTGGCAAGCTTGGAATATAGGGATATTTCTTAGAACCAATACATTTATTGGCAATATTGTCACAAAGCCTAGTTCTGTGCTAAAAGCTTGTTGATTTGTGCTGGGATTTGAAAGATTGACGTAAATTTTGACATTTTAGTACTTGTGTTTTGTATTCAGTTTCTTTGTTATTTTTTCGAATATCGTTTGTGTTTGATTTGTCTGGATGAAATATTTTCAATTTCCCAACTTCCAAACAGATTCAAAAAGATATTAGAGAGTTTTAGCAGTCACAAATTTGGTTCTGTAAGCGTTAAAAGAACGTCATTTGACATTTAAGTCTTAACCTCTTTTTTATTGTCAGTACGCATTGCGATGCGCAGGTATTACTCTACATTTTCATGGTGGTATCCGCCTTAACACCTAGTTCAAGTGAGAGGTAAATTTATCCCAGAGTTAGGCCTTAACTCCAAGATAACTATGACGGTGCACTGACTAACTCGAAGTTAGTGCTAACCCTGACTTTAACCCGAACCGGTGCAAACCTCCGCAAACGGAACGAATCCAACACGAAGAACCATGATGCGGTGCTCTATAATTTTTGTCATCTGTCAGTGGAATGACATGTGGTATTTTTACATGTAAATGACACATGCTGTGATACGGCAAGTGTAAATTTTGAGCATTTTTTTGACAAATAGCAAATTAGAATTTTGCACACAAGATATTTTAGCGGTATTACTGTTACGATAAACTACAAAAATGTTTGTAAAGGAACTTATTTTTATTAGCACAGTATTATTATATGTTACAAATGCAGAATGGAACACCAAAGATTTTATGAAGAGGGAACACTCATTGATAAAACCGTATTATGGTAAGTTTCCACGCAATTCAAGTGTCCTTTTGAATAAAATATATTGTCCTCGCAGGTACGGGAATAGATATACCCTTTTGGCAGTTTAGGGGGACTACAATCATCACACCAAACTATATAAGACTAACCGATGATACACAAAGTAAAAGAGGTGCTATTTGGAATACTGCAGTAAGTATACAATGATAATTGATATCGATATATTGCTAAGTGCACAATTCTTCTTTTAGCCTGTAAACGTGAAAAATTGGGACTTGCAAGTACATTTCAAAGTTCACGGCAAAGGAAAAGACCTGTTCGGTGATGGCATGGTGATCTGGTATACTAAAGATTATATGATTGATGGTCCTGTATTTGGAAGTAAGGACTACTTTCATGGCTTAGCGGTATTTTTGGACACATACAGTAATCATAATGGACCCCACAATGTAAGCAAAAAGTAACAACATAACCATTTTCCATTTATAAAAATAAACTTATTCTAGCATCAACATCCATATATATCAGGGATGGTAAATAATGGAACTCTTTCTTATGACCATGATAGAGATGGAACACACACTCAATTGGCTGGTTGTGAAGCCAAGATTAGGAATCTAGACCATGATACCCACATATCTATCAAATATGAAAAAGATGTTTTAACTGGTAAGGAAACTATATAGCATACATTTAATATAAATTAACATTTTCCAATGCATTATTCAATCTCCAAAGGCAAAGGTTGTACTTAAAATATTGCTTATAAATATGCTTTGTTTTTACAAAATTGTGGATTTGAATCCAAGGATTACCAGAATTGTTTTCACATTATCCAAATTTCATGTTTCTATGTTTTTGTCTTTGATAAAAATTGTTTGCATAGTAACTATTCATTATTAGGTAAGACTTTTGGAATCTGAATATGTCTGACGAAGTGTGTTTTATGTGTCATCCCACCTATGAGAACTATAAATGTTAAAATACAATTTTTTTAAAAGGATTGGCCAATATTATGTATATTAACCCATTCTATTGAGATATGATTCAGCTGATATGCCAACAAATTATGAAGTTAACATTTAATATTATTGAAATGGAGAAAAAACAATATAATACAGTGAAATCTCCTTTGGGTAGACACCAACTGGACTGACTGAAATGGTCTGTTCAAGACAAAAATTGTGTTTTTAATGAAAACTGACTGGATTTAGCGGACAATAATTTTTGTGACTCTTCTTTGGCTACTTCTACTAATTCTGGTGGATTCAAAAAAAACTCGGAATTAGACATTTTTTACTTTATAGTATTAAAAATAACTTCTAATCAACCACAAGTTCACAATTTTTAAATAAATCACAAAATTAAATTGACAGCTATTTGATTTAAAAGTTTTGTTAGCAATGCCGGCCTAATTGTCACTATAAGTATACTAAGTGACATATAAATCCGAACACCCAGTTTAAATGGTTTTATTTTAATAAAATTTTGTATAAGTACTTAATGAAGCATAATAAGTAAATGATAAAAATTTCAAAATGATTGCACTGCTTTAAAGCCCTTTGACCATTAATAATGTGTGGATGCACCCTTGAAGTCTATTGTGACTCTTGCAACATGTGGTCGGGCATTATCTTGTTGGAAAGTTGGATCTGCCAGGGTGTCAAGATAGGGTAAAAGATGGGGTTCTAGAACTTCGTGGATATAACGCTACGCGTTCATGTTGAATGAATGAATGAATCTTGAATTTTAGAGGCATCCCGGCCACCATAAGGAGCCAGTGCATAGGCCGCTTAAGCGGGCCCTTATGCACCTCTACAATACTTAAATCACAAGCCTCGCCCTTTTAGCGAAGTTGAGAATCGCCTTGAGTCCAAGCTCCTTTACGTTCTGAGGGTCCAAAGTAATGGACCCCAGTATAGTCTGCCTATAGTAGCTCAGAGCTTCACAGCGACACAAAACGTGCGCCGAGGTCTCTTCCTCTACTCCGCAGCGTTCGCACAAGGGATCCTCAGCCACCCCCATCACGTGCAGGTGCCGCCTTAACGTGTTATGGCCAGACAACAGTCCCACCAGCAACCTTAGGTTGGCTCTACCCAGAGATAGGCAGAAGCGTCCATCCTTAGCACTGGGCCCTTCAATGAGCTCTCGTGCCTGGCGGAGATGTCTAGAGATACTTCTCCATTTCTGAGAGTGTTGTCTTGCAACCCACGTCTCCATTTTCCTCCTAGCTTTATGCGCGGTTACTCCTAGAGCTGGCTCAGGACCAACGAGCTTGCTGGCTGATCCTGTTTTCGCCAGAGTGTCCGCCGTCTCATTGCCCCTTATCCCAGCGTGCCCCGGTACCCATATTAACGATACCGGATGCCTCGCTGCGAGGCAATCCAGAGCCTCCCTGCATTGCAATACAAGACAAGTAATCTTACATGCACTTAGTGCTTTCATTGCAGCCTGGCTGTCGGATAAGATTGTTATTCTTCTCCTAGGCCCACCCTCCTCCAGAATGTGAGATACACAAGCCAGAATCGCAAAGATTTCCGCCTGGAAAATGGTGGTGTACTCACCGAGAGGCAGAGATAGCCTAGTTCTAGGTCCAGAGACCCCAGCACCTGAGCCCTCTTCGGTGACCGAGCCGTCCGTGTACCAGACCTGCCCGCTCACTTCGGAGAGTCCTCGGCTACCGGCGTCCCACTCCTCCCTCGTTGGGTACTCCACAATGAACTTGCGGTTGAAGCGATATTTAGGGGTAATACGATCACCCCTGCTTAGAAGGACGGGGTCCTCCCTTTCTAATTCGACTAATATGGCAGTATGCCCCTTGACCGGATTCAAGAAACCCCGCAGCCCTGACTCCACAGTCGATGAGCGTTCATGTTACCTCTGATGAAGATTAAAGGTGACCTGGAACCATAACAGTGTGATAAACATGTCTTTCAACAGAAAACTGTGGATTCCTCCTTTCACCACGTCGCCTTCTAACCCTGGCATGACCATCGTGCATGCCTAAACAAAATCGAGACTCGTCACTAAAGACTGTTTCATTCCTGATCCCAGAGTGACCGTTGTCTGCACCACTCAAGGCGATTACTTCGGTGTTCTCGAGTTAAAGGGAGGACCCAGTGTGGCGGGTATGAAAACAAGCCAAAACTTCTCAATCGTCGGTAAACGCTTCGCATGCCAATAGGTCTTCCGTGTTCTGCAAACCATTCATTTGCAATGGACCTGGTAGTGGAGAAACGGTCCCTTAAGGCCAATAATCTTAGGCGGCGATCTTCACGGTCTGTTGTTCTAGGGCGGCGTCCAGTGCCCCTTGCTCTTTGCGTACGGCCTTCTCGAAGCCATGCCTGACAACACCTAACCACAGTGACTACACTTCTTTGCACTCTAACTGCAATTGCCCGAAAAGAAAGTCCAGCTTCCCGAAGTCCCACTATACGGCCCCTATCAAACTCACTAAGTTGACGAAATCGTACAGGTCTCCGTACTCTAGGCATCGTAACCGATCGTAAAGGATGTCAAGAACCAAAATCTGCCAACGTTGATTCTTTACTGTGGCTGAAATATTCATTTTTAGAGCGTTAGTGAATTAAAAAAAAGCAGTATAAAAATCGTAATGTCCAACTGATAAGGCTGAAAATTTTTTCTCTTATTATTTACAGTGAGATAAATACATTCGCCAACTTTTATTAAAATTAAACCATTTAAACTGTGTTCGGATTTATATGTCACTTAGTATATTACAACATAGTCTACTAATTTCAAAATTCAAATTTGATATCGATAATTGTCTGACTTAAATATTGTAATAATGTAATTTTTCAATATTAAATCGTCGTTTTTCCCGTCACAGAAAAAATTGTGTATTATACACGGTTATTTTCGGTTATTCGGTTATTTTATCTCCCACCGCTGCGCGTCGGGAGACATTACAACCTCAAGCTGAAATCTAGTACTTTTTTATCACTTGTATAATAAATAACTATTTTTGAGGATATCTGAATATCTGAAAGTATATTAAATGGTAAGTCATCTTCGGGGTCAGGTGTATCAGCCTCATTTAACTGGTCTTCACTTTGCATATTTTCATGCTTAAATCCTGCATTGTGGAAGCAATTTTGCACTGTTTCTTTGATTACTTGGTCCCAAGTGATTTTTGTCAAATAAACTGCATTTTATCACATAATTTTCTTTATTAACTCAAAACCTGTACCAACAGTTTCAATGTTTCCTAGCAGGTGTTTGACTATAAGACTTCGGTAACAGGCCTGATTTTAAATAGTGATTGTGAAAATTAAATGGTTGAGAATTGCTACCATTCACTTTTCATCCAATGTTTTCCTTTTTTTCAGTTTCAACAGACTTTGAAAAGAAAGCAGCTTGGAAACAGTGTTTCCAAGTGAAAGGTGTAAGGTTACCTACAGGATATCACATTGGAATATCCGCATCAACTGGAGAACTGTCTGACAACCATGACATAATGTCAGTTAGGCTGTTTGAACTGGATTTACCTGATGATGTAAGGATTACTTTAGTCTATACATGGAAAGTTAACAGATATATTACGGTGCGCGGTGCCCGGCATTTAGGCTTCTGCCTGCGCGGCTGCTTCGGTATATAAGAAAAAATGTCCCCTCTGTAACTAGATTCAATATGACAATTTTCCTTTTTCTTTTCTGAATTTACATTGCGAGTTGAAGTGGTCTAGAAATGGAGCGTGTAAATATGGGATCTGACACAATTTTGTGTTCACCTAACAACTTTAGGGAAAATAATGAACTGCTATACATATGTGAGGTCACCATTTTGTTCTAAACGTTGTATTTACTTACAGCCTGAAACTGATGAAGACAGATCAAAAATCGTGCCGTCGGCAGTATTCTTTGAGCCGCCAAGAGATCATGTGGACGACCCCAAACCATCATCTTTGTCAGGCATAAAAATATTCCTTCTGATGCTGCTGGGTAGTGTAGCAATTGTAGCGTGTATAGTTATGGGAATTATGTTCTACCAGAAACAGCAAGAAAAAAGTAGGAAGAGGTTTTATTAAATGGTTGTTAGGTATTTGAATATTTGATATAAGAGTAAAAGTTCTATTTCAGCATTGTGCTATGCAGACTTGAGAGAAGATGGGGCCAGACAAAAAAATTTTCTTCATGGTTTTGTCTTTATAAAGTTTTGATAACCTTGGTCAAATACAACAGGCATATACTTTAGTTGCAGCACTAACTCAGGGCAGTAATGGTTACATGATCATCATACAATGTTTTAGATGTGGTGTAGAAAAATGATATGCTCTTTTACAACTACAGTTTCAATCTTTTTTATCGAATCTATTATATCAGGTACAAAATTCTTTGGAGTTCATGAGCGTTTCATTATTGATTAACAATTGGGTACAAGTGCCAAACTACGATTGTGCTTACGGACCCCACTCCAATTGTATTGCAGCGCCAGACGGAACCATTAGGAACTATTTATATTAATGATTAAAGCCGACAAAGTTCCTGAAAGTAATAAAATGTATTTATTTAAATGTATCTAAATCTATATTTCGATTTCTGGGTTTTTTTTGTTAAGCATTGCGTCGCAAACTGAAATAGAACTTTACTGCCGGTGTGGTATTTAGGTAATCGAAAATCATGTGATCGGTAAACATGGCCATTTTTAGGATTATCCCGTAAACTGATAGTTTTCTATTTTAAAGTTTAACTACTCTAATTTGCACGAAAAAATTGAACTGCACATCACATTTGGCATGTCATTCAGTATTACTGCTTCCCCATCCGTTTAATGCTCATGCAAAATAGAAAACTATCATATTATAAGTAAATCTTCTATTGAGATCTTAATCCATTCTAATGCTGTTTGGTAAAAGATATTTTGACACAACCGTTATCATTAGTGGGGGTTTATACGACTGATTATTGATATATTTAGCTGCTCTATTATCACCAGCTACTAAAAAATATAGACCTCTTAATTCACTCATAACATCAAAAATAAATCGTTGCGATGGGCGAAGGAGCAGGGGTGTAAATGCAGCGTGAAAATGACCGACTTTTATTGAATTCTGTTCTGTGGCAACTTTAAGAAAAAGATTCCGGGTCGGTGTGTTTTCAAGAGGGCCCACTTTTTCAGTACATCGTATAAATCAAGTGATAAATTGTTTTATTCCATACACTGAAACAGAATCATGAAAATATAAATTCTCGTCTTGTTTTTCGTTCAGGGAGAGAAATGCTAGGTCTCAAGAAGGCATTGCGGTTAATAATGACGATTTCATGAGTTAGTAGTGAAAAAATAGGTATGTCAGGTCATTCAGCTCTCATTTGAAGAGGATTCTCGGCATCTCGGTAAAAAAGAAAAACGTCAACTTTACAAGCACTACGTATCTAATAGCCCAAATTGAAGATACAGATACTCAAAAATGAATCAAACATGTGTCATGCTGCTTATGTAGGAGCTTGATTTTACAGTATCGATATATACAATTCAGAAGTATCAAGAGATATGAAGACAAAAAATTGTATAGTCAAAATCGCGAAAGATGACTATTACGTCATAACATAAATTGTACTGGAGTAATCAATGGACGTACGTCGATGATAAAATCACGATGTCAGGAACAATATTTATAACGGGTGATTTTTTAAGAGGTATAGGATTTGATTTTCAAAAAAAAACACAAAAAATTTGAAAAAACTATTAAATCTTCATTTGAGTCGATAGAACGGTCGATATAATTTAATGTTTAAAGATTATTTCATGTAAATGTTGGCCGCGGCTTCGCTTTAGATGGCATATGCGGAAGGTCCAATTTTGGCACACTCTCTCCAACATATCGGCCGGTATCTCACGAATGAATGCTTCAATATTGGCTTCCAGTGCGTCAATCGTTGCTAGCTTATCCCTGTAGACATTAGCCTTAACATGACACCACAAGAAATAGTTCAACGGCGTTAAATCACACGATCTAGGCGGCCAATTGTCGGGCCCCAAACGGGAAATAAACTGTTCACCGAACTCGCCTCTCAATAGGGCCATTGTTTCGTGTGCGGTGTGGCATGTGGCACCGTCTTGTTGAAACCACATGTAAGCCAAGTCCAGCTCTTCCATTTTGGGCAAAAAAAAAGTTTGTTATCATCGCACGGTAGCGCTCGCCATTCACAGTTACGTTCCGGCCATTGTCGTCTTTGAAGAAGTACGGCCCGATGATGCCACCGGCCCATAATCCACACCAAACAGTGATTTTTTCTGGATGCATTGGTAGCTCTTGCAATGCTTCTGGCTGGTCTACACTCCAGATCCGGCAATTTTGCTTGTTAACGTACCCATTCAACCAGAAATGAGCTTCGTCGCTGAACACAATTTTTCGATAAAATGTGGATCTTCCTCCAACTTTGCCAGCGCCCATTCACCAAATTGGAAAGGTTGCGGGAGGTCGTGTGGCTTCAATTCTTGCACCAGCTGTATCTTATAAGGTTTTACACCCAAATCCTGTCGCAAAATTTTCCACGTAGTGGAGTAACAGAGGCCCAATTGCTGCAAACGGCGGCGAATCGACATTTCACGGTTATCACTAACACTGACGGATACAGCCGCAATATTTTCTTCAGTCCTCACTCTACGTCTGCGTGTTGGTGGTTTAATGTCCAATAATGTAAATTGGGTTCGAAATTTAGTCACAAGCGTCCGAATAGCTCCCTCAGTAGGCCGAACAAATTGCCCATAAATTGGAAGCAGTGCTCGATGCACTCTCTTAACCGAGCATGGATTTTGATAGTAAAATTCAATAATTTGCAAGCGTTGTTCGTTCGTAAGTCGATTCATGGTCAAATTATAGACCAAACTGAACAAGTTTGACAATGACACAAGACACGATTCACGCGTCATCTGTCAAAAACAGTGTTGCCAAAAAGATACTAGCAAAAAAATCACCCATTATTATGATTTTGCGAAGTTATATTTCACTGATTATTTTTATTTTGATTTTATTTCATGCTTTCGAGTGATACCTTAATAATAATTTTAGTGGGGAGTTTTTGTTTTGAAAAAAAAAACAGTTATGAGTAGAATACCTTATGAAAGGAACACCAAAGACCAAAGTATTATTCGAAAACAACCTAACCTGCTTTAACATAACCTAAATATTCATCTTTCAAATATGACCGATCGTGCGACATGAAAACATCGTCTATCTTTGTCGGATACACACAAATTAGCAATACAGTTTGTTTAGACAATAAGATTCTGTTTGTCTCTGTTTAACATATCTGAAACTTTATTAAAAGTATTCACAAATCGCTGACTTTTGTCTTTACTACAGACGAAAATGATGACGTAATCGTCATCTTTCGTAATTTCGACTATAGTTTTGATTAATTTGAGGAACGACGAAAAATAATTTACTTATAACTTGGATATAACCAAAACATAATAAAATTGCATTACAACGTTGTGCAAAATCGGAGTGAAAAGCTTTAAAACCTCCACCTTGGGGTTGGCGCGACTGGGAACCGAACATAAATTATAACCATAACCTATACTTACCTTGAACATGTTCTGCCTTGCGAGTTTTAATTTTACATATATAGCAGTGTCTCGCCATTATTATCGCAAAGACGCAAAAAAATCACTGCAGATAAAAGTAAAATTGAAATGAGATGTTGCTCCGTCAGCACGAAAACTCACATAATGTTTACGCATCTCATACGATAACTACGTATGCGACGTTGTCAGTTGTTGTTAAAAATAACCAAATAAATACCTTGTCTCATCAAATCATGAAAGGAATATTCATAAGTACATATGAATATCTTTGCTCGTTGTTAACTTATTAATAGATAGTGATACCAACTATAGGTAGAAAGCATTTTCGGAGATTCATTAGCCTCCATTGAGGGGCTTTGCAAATCTCCGAAGAGATTTCGGAAAAAATCCGAATGTAAATAGGTCTATATTTTTCAGTAGTCGATGTGTTATAACTAACCAGTGTATTGTATGAACATGTCCTTTAAAGCAACGAGGATCGGCTTCATAATCTCCATCTAGTAGTTAACTGTCATCAACTCTCTAACTGCTACTTAACTAGATATTGTGAAACCGGCCTTAGCCACCATGTAAGGAAATATATAAAATTTTTCCCATGTGATTATCACATTTTCCCATATGCAGTAATGACAGTAGACGAAAGAAAATTTAGCATATCGCACAGGATTCAGACATTTGTTAAGTAAGGGTTGTATCTTCAGTCGTTCGTGCAATTGTAGGACTCCTTTATGGCCTCCTTGATTTTCATAGTTTGAGGTTATGTTACAAATATCTCTTTGCATCAAATTGTTAATTCTTTTGATTTACATCATCTGTTATGTCAGCCTGACATCTACAATTCAAAAAGAAAACATAACCTCACAATAGGAGAGCGCTGTCACGAAACAGTAGAAATCTAGAAATACCCCAGCCTTTCTGAAGGAGAGAAAAGACTATGAAAATCAAGAATGCCCTATTGTAGGAACGACTCATGATACAGTCTAGTACAATATGTATTATTCATCATAAATGTTATTTGCTTACCGTTTGAGAGGTTAAACATAGCTGCCCTCCATCTTGGGCAAATGCTATCAATTTATACTCATTATTTTCCAACAATTAGTGAATGACACCAGATTTTTCACATAATAAATCGACCTGAACAGTGCATAAAATTTAAAAGCTCTTGCTGTTTTTGATTTGTTCAAAAATGAATAAAAAGGACATGTTTCATGTTATTATTTGAATATTAAATATAAGTTCAATTGTGCACAGTCTAGTCTGTTAATACTATATATAACCTATATGTCCAGCCAAACATTAACATTGATGAACATTTCAACGCTGTTCTATACATCTACATTTTTAGTATAAAAATATTCCTATCTGAATTATTCCGGAGAGAAATTGTATTCCACTGTTATTTATTGGAATTTGGCATATACAGGGTGTCTCAACCGTGCAAAGATGGAGTATTGCTCGTAAACAAAAGGTTTTCAAAGAAAAATATGGATCATTATATATGGTATCTCAAGGCATGTTTCTAAAATATCCACAATTATACCCACATATCAAATTTGATTTTTCTTAAATGGAATGGCCTACTTTTTATCACACATTTGGACCGGTCCTTTCAAAAAGGAACAAGACTGGCATATAACATATTATTATTAGTTGTTGAATTAATATTTTATATGAAAAACATCTAAGTTTGACAATCTGAAATCTGCTATGTTGATAGGTGGAGCCGTGAATAATTCCAATTTTTTTTATTTCATACAATTTCAACCATTTTTCGATTTTTTATGCAAAAAAATTAAATGGAACACCCGGTATATTTTTGCACTATCGAATTCCTATTTTCATGAGATTTTTATAAATATAAAATTGCTACCAGTTTGGTCAAACTGTATCTGCGTTATAGATATTTATTTCAATAAGTTGATCATTTTTCTTTTCAATTAAGTGGAAAAAAGACAAGTAAAAGATTAATGACTGTCTATAAAATCAAGCTTTCAAGTAATACAATGCTTTTGTGTTGTAATTTATTATTACAGATATATAATATAAAATTAATTTTTCGTAGGTTTGAAAATGGCGATTATAAGTAAAAATAACTAAAATTTGAACTATTTGTACTACTATAGAAAATGCCCTGATGTTGAACATACAAAGACTTCGAATATAGAGGATATAAAGCAGAGAATACGAGCATTTCTAAATGTCAGTGAACACATTACATTCATTTAAAGATTTCGATTGTATGTTCAACATTTAGGGTTTTTCTTCTATCATAGTAAACATAGTTTAAATTTTGGTTATGTTTACGCATAGCCGGCAGTTTCAGCCATCTCAAAAAATTTATTTCATATCAAATCAATCTGTAATAATGAATTGCAATACAAAAATATTTCATTACGTGGTTTCTAGATGAAAGCCTAAATTAATAATCCTTTACTTGTTTTTTGTTTCTATATTCTAATCATATTACCAAATTTCCCCGAAATAATTGAAAAGTCTGGTTTTATTGGTGCAAGTTTTTCAATGAGGTATTTATTTAAAAGATGGATGCATAAAATGCGAAAACTTCTTATTTGACAACAAAAAATGAGAAAACGCGTTTTTTTGTGTCTAGCAAGATACCAGGTATGCAGACTATCAAACCTTGATGTTTTTTTAGACAAAATACCTAATAGCTCAATAAAACCCATAAGTGTATCCTTCTTTTAAAAGGATATACCCAAATATGTAATAAAAAGTGGAACATTCCATTAAAAAAAAAAAAGAAATTTGAATGTGAATCATAATTGGGACACCCTGTATAATTATACAGTTTTCTTTGAATAGGAGCAATACTCCTTCCTCGCACGGTTGGGACACCCTGTACATACTCCTGTATGACAAAACTTCTTCAAATTCCAAATCATCAGTTATGATACAATAGGAGTACATAGACAAGAATTTTAGCATGGATTGTTTCTTTTAAAGAAAAAGGTCATTTCCAAAAAAATGACGAGTTACATGTTTCACTTGCTATACAGAATTAAGTTTGTATGTATATTGTTGAAATGTAACTACATATACATAGGATGCTCCCTATATTTGTATATTAGGAAAGAAATGATATTAGAATTAATTTGTATAATTGTAATTTTATTTTTACAACAGTACATTTATAAAAATTATACATATAGGTTATTCCATTCACTGTAAAAGTACTGCAACCATTCATTGACTGAAATTACATTAATTGTTTACATATTTATTTCATCAACTAAATTCATCTATGGAAATCTCCAAAAAGAACAACAGATATTTTGTATTATGGATCTTTCGAAAATGTAATTTGTAAATAAATTCTTTTTTAAGTATGCCTGACTAGTACATTCACATATTTTCCATATTACACTCTTTACTTCTGGGTTACAACAAATAAGTACTAATTGTGATATAGCTACATAACATTTAACAGTTAACATTTAGATATACATTAAACAGTTTGAATATCAATCATGGAAGAACATCAACATATTTTATGTCTAGTACGTAATATATTTTAATGATACACGAAACACACAATGATTAAATAAAGCAAATTCTATTTTCGGTTAAAAAATCTGCGATGAGATTCAACATTCAAATATACCATAACTGGTCAAAAAACTTCTGATGCATGATTTATCAATGAATTATATACAGTTAATATTCTATTATTTTTTATTTTGTTTATTCTGAGTAATACTTATTACAAGTATACTACTCAACGTTCTAATGACACTTGACCCTACGTCATCGCCGATTTGGATAAAAATGGTATTGGATACGAATACGTCATTGTAGTACCTTTGCCTTTGTGTCAAAGTACGTAGTTTGTTATTCTATCGACCTGGTTAATAGAAAGTAGCAGAAGAATAAAAAAAGAGGGAGAGCAAATAGTAAGAAATACAACTGTTGAGAGAAAAGGTGTCCGAGTATTGTTGAACATTACTGTAATAATTTTGGATGCCGAAAGAGAATTTGGTTGGAATGGTATTGTAGTGAGGACCGTGGACAAGAAAAAAGAACGGTTTCTATACTGTCCGAAAAAGTATTTGAGTGGGGTGTGTGAGTAGCAACACGCTGCATGCTAAAAAACAGATTAGTGAATATTGTTTGGCATACGTTTGGAATGATTCCAAGTAAATTCCAACATGAATGCTAATTTTGTTTCCTCACCTCCAGAGAGGTAGAGACACGGAAAAGTGTAAACATTTATTTTTGCTCCAAATATACAGGGAAAACTAAATGTCTGACGGCTTGATTTCAATGTGTACGAGCGCGGTAAGTGTGCATGTTAGAAAGAGATAGAAACCGACTGGTCAGCGAATGTCATCACCACATTGCGTAGCAACGGTGACGTGCAATCTGCTGCGTTGCCAATATGTTACAGCAGTTCGTTGAATTAAGATGCATGTTGGAAATATGCGTTAGTTTATTCTCCATGCCCAAATAATGGTTTTATCTTGAGCGTACACATTTTTGAATTGTGTCGAATCTGTTTAGGATTGATTCCCGATCGGTCCTAACGGCGCTCCATTTTTAGGTCGAAATGAAAGGTAAGGATCGCCATAAATTCTGCAACATTTCATCATTGGTGCGTTTGACAACACCGCATCTTGTAAATTTCAAGGCAAGGTTTTTACTTCCATAGATCATAGATGAGCGATTTTTTGATATTCCTAGCAGAATAAGACCTTATTTACCGAAAACGTTCATATTTTCCACCATTTTTTGAAATAATTCAGACAGTTCCAGATGTTTTTCCGATAAAGAGGTAAGAACCGAAAATGAAGTGTATGTGGTCTACGCAATTTTGTGCTGAAAATCCTATCATAATCTAAGCATTCCATATAATTTTATAAACTTTCATCATGTCGCAGTTTTTTTAGAACTGAGAAATTTTGGATAAGTAACTCAGGAACTTTGAGGAAACAAGTTCAAAGATTCGCATTCATGTTAGAAATGTCACGAAATCCCTTCCAAATCTATGCCTTTTAACGAACGCAAGTCTTGTTGAGAAACACACTTCTTTTAAATAGTTTTTCCAACAGCATACGGTGCCCTTTCCAGACGAATAGATATCACCCTGTATATACGTTCTCCACAACTGATAACTCTGAGGCAACAATGCACATCACCATCACTTACCGGACGTTTTTTGGTTGAAATGCCGGTCAAAAGTAAATCGGAATTACGTCAACTTTACAATTTTCAAATAATTAATCAGGTATCTCACTTATATCCAAATCCTCGATGACGTACTGTCGAGTCTCGTTCGAGTTTAGACTATACTGTTATTTGACCGGCTATGGTAGAAATAGGTATGTATTAAGTGTTTGTTTAGTGGAAAATCTACTAAAATACAAACAAAATTCGTTTTCAGTCTGACTTTTCTATTCAAGTTAAATTGCGTTCACAACACTGACTAATAGATTCATACTCTAAAACACGCCTCTTTACCCAACCATGCATATTCATTTTACACAGCTCAAGGAGATTTTTTACATTGAGATACCAGGATATGTAAGTGCAGTATCAGCAGTAATTTAGAAAAACGATGGCTGCTCCATTGCTCAGCTAACTCCTATACTAGAGTCCTAGCCACAAATATGATGCAATTGCAATTTGTAAAGCTCGAGGTCTGCTTTAAACCTCCATTGAATTGTGACCAATGGATACGTCGACATTCAGTACATAAAAGACCAACTAAAGATAAACTGTATTTGCCCTGTGCCTGTTTCCCGCTTAACCGGTTGTTAAACGTACTAGATACCATGGTTTTAGGTTTAGCTTTAACCTCTCTTAACCAGGCTTTGTTGTGACGTCATAACCCTGATCGAATAGACGCGACGAGCATTTGGTTAAAGCCGGTTGAAGTTTGTTATACGAATGAAAAGACGTCTTTTGAAACAATATCGAGTAAGGATTAGTTTATTGAATTGCGCCATACAAATTGATATTCTTTAGCGTTTATTGTTACATGTACAATATTCAAATTTGATCGCATATGCCTGGAATCTCAATTGCAAACCTATAACTGGTCAGTCAAAAATATTTGTACCTTGATTTACTAGCTGGCAGGGTTAGCAAAATCATATATTTCAAAAGCTGATATCAAAATGATATTCAAAAAAAATTTACCCGATCACTAGCTAATTAATAATTATTATTGAGCTGCTACTCATAAATTATTTCATTTCTAATATATGATATATACTGGTACCTTCTTGTGAATTGGACCTCAATAAATGTATATTAAGCAGTCATATATGAAGGTACATAAAATTTACACTACGCAATGTCAACGATAATAAACTTTTTAGAAATAGTAACAAAAAATTCACCCATCTAATATTCAAAGTTGAACGAAGATTGTCAGCAAAAAATACGTGTAGATTGGCATTATTTACTTTTGCGGTTATTTTTCCAACAAAGCTTTCCAATCATCAGTGGATACGAGGCAGAAGACAAGGTTTAAAAAAACGCACGCTATTGTAGCGACACGCACTGATTCTTATGACTGAAATTACACAATTCAAGCATCATATCATTGTATATGAATACGTGATTAGTTTATTTTTATGCTAAACAATGCAAAATACTAACGTAATTTGCTTTCTTGCGTTTATAGCGGAATCGGAACCAGTAAACTGTGCGTATAGGCAACCAGTTCTGCAACGAACTTGTGATAACTGTACACTACTTTGAAGCTTGGTACAGTATTTCAAAAAAATTAAAATCTTTCATAATTTCAAATAAAGAAAATGAATCTGATCGAGATACTAGATAAATTTAAAGGCTTAATTACTTGCTGAAAATAGCGCGACGTCGGCGTATTTGTTTATTTTGAATTTTGGAATGTTTCACAGAACAAAAATACAAGTTCTCATATATAGTCAACGCCAAACAAAGTGGCGTGCACGTCATCACGATAAAAATTCCCCGACCTAATGCCTAGGTTTCTATCACAAACAATTGCTCTATTGCAGTTTCATATTAATGTGATATATAAATTGTAAAATGGTCATTACTCTCTTATTATGGTTAATAGTCATATAAACATTGTTATTAAAATATCACATAAGTTGCTTTCTGATAAATTTAGACGCATTATGCGAAATAAAATGTTTTACAAATGCTCCAATCACTTATCGACATGTAAACGCACTAAACCGATTTCGCAGCGTTGACACATTGTCACCTTGAAACTTATTTAAACTGGGAACTGACATTTGTATTAATTTTGACACTGAATCAATTTGTGGCATTTCAAATCTTTATAAATCCTTTGGCCCCGCATACTGTAAATCAACAATTGTTTGTTTCAAAATAAAATTATTCATTTTACGAGTAGATAAAGGCAATTTTGGTATATAAAAATGCCCAAACAGTTAAATAGTCGGTGTAAGGAACTCGTGGCCTCGTTAATGCACTACTTTGAGCAAGAAAGGGACAACAACGGGCCTTTGTTGCCTTTAAATGCTGTTCAAGAGGTAGGTTACTAATAATTATATGTAATGTATATTAATAATAGTGAAATTTTATTTCATTTTTTGTAGCGTGTTGCTGCTGCTTTAAAAATTAGTTTAAGGACAGTTAGTCGTATTTCCGAGGGTGTGAAAAGTGATGCAAATTAAGAATCGCCCAAGAAAAAGCGGAGTTATATTAAACGTGTAACCAACACAGCGATATTGGATACAAGTGCCATTCGAGAAGTGATCTATAATATGTATCACAAAAGTAAGATCTTATTATAATAACTTATCAGAAATTTGCATTAATTTGTTAACTAAATTATAATGTCATATTACACATGGTTTCAGAAGAACAAGTTACGATACAAACTTTATGGTCTCGATTAAGAGATAGGGCATTATTTGATGGTAGTGCCACGTCTTTAAGGCGGTTGCTTAGAGATCTTGGATTTAAGTGGCTTAAGGACAATCCGCGACGAGGGCTCATGGAACTACCAAGTATAGCTTTGAAAAGGGTGGAATTTCTAAGGCAATACAATCAAGCCAAGGTTGAGGCCTTATACCAGTTTGTCTTCCTCGATGAAACTTGGATATTTCAAAATGGGACCATAGGTCGCTCTTGGCAAAATGGAAACCAAAAAAGCGTGAAAGCTATTAAAACAGATGGTAAAAGGTATGTACTTTTACACAATTTGCACTATAAAATTTAAAACTAATACATTTTAGATACATTATATTACATGCTGGAAATGAAAATGGGTTTATTGAGGGTAGTGAAGCGATATTTTCTTCGAAAACAAAATTGAGCGATTACCATGGAGAGATGAACCAGGACAATTTTTTGAAATGGTTTCAACATCAGTTATTAGAAAAATTGGAGAGTCCATCTATGATTATACTGGATAACGCCCCTTATCACAGCATGATATTGAACAAAGTGCCCAACAATGCATGGACAAAAAAAAATATCCAAGACTGGTTGACAAATCAAAACATACCATTTTTAAACACAATGTTTAAAACAGAGCTATTGAGTATTGTTGCTCGGTACATAATGCTTCTTAATTATATATATTTTGGTCGACAGTTTATATTTCTTTTGTTTATTCCTATTCTTAAAATAACTGCTTTTTTAGAAACAAACCACCTAAAATATACGTGATTGATGAATTGGCGGAACAACATGGGCACAAAGTTCTTCGTCTGCCTCCTTACCATTGTATATTTAACCCTATTGAGTTAATTTGGGGCATAGCAAAAGGTTACTATAACAGACATATTGGTAGAGATGGTAACAGTGAAAAAGACTGTTTGGATATGTGGAACGAGGCTCTACAAACGGTTACCCCAGACATGTGGAAAAATAGTGTTCGACATACTGAGCAAGAAATTTTTAAATGGTATGAATTTTTGATCGACCAGACATCGAACCTTTAATAATCAACTTTGAGAGTGATGAAGATTCAGATTCAGACAGCGCTGAAGAAAGAAACTCCGATTAACTTTATTGTACAGAAAAAGCTTACACCAGTAGCTTACCTAATTTTAGAATGCATTTTTCTGTATGAATTCTGTAAAATAAATACCATGCATAAAATTTGGAGGACCCCATTTGGATTTTTATTCAGTACCTTTAAGCTATCAATTAAATATGGTAGTTTCATAGTGTCATCTGATCAATAATTGTCATACTTAATGATTATGCAAGTACAGATCTATAATTTTATTATACTATTATTTTTGTTCTCATTTGAGGTTAATATTGCTTATAAACCTAGATATGTAAATAATAAATTTTATTATTTTACAAAAAGTTTGGCAACAATGTAAATTTTTCAACACACCCACCTTGATGACGTGCACGCCACTTTGTTTGGCGTTGACTATAGTATATTGCACTTCAGAAACAAAACTGTGGTGGGGAAATAGTGGTTAAAAAACATTCAACCTATCTTTGTTCGATGTTGTTCAGCAGTCTATCGAGTTTTTTGCTTGAATTTTCATTGGACATTTATCCACAATTTTTTTGCCATATCTAAATAAATTCTAGAAAGCAAATACATTATTACTATTTTGCATTGTTTCGTAATATTTAGCACGAAAATAAACCATTCCGTCCCAAATGTATCATCAAAATGCTAAATAGATACAGCCAGCGAAGAAAACTCTTTCTGACATCGATGACAGCGTGTGACATCTGTTACAGCCTACTGTGAAATGCGAATGTTAAATCATATCAATTTAACCTCCCGCAAGGGCTTAAACGTTAGTGTTGCATTGCCCAGGTATTTAGGCTTATGCCTAGGCGGCAGCTTATACAAGGTGTAATTTAATTGATGGTTAAAAATACAGAATATGAGTCCTTAGCTCATTTTACGAAGAACAGTTTTTATGAACATCTGCCCTAAACCTCAGCTTTTGAGCTACAGGGTGTTGAAATTTTGGGGAAAAAAATCGTTTTCTTATCATAATTTTAATACTGTTCTAGATAGTTTCATGAAATTTGACATATACCTACTAAGCACCAATAGGCATTTTTTGATGTAGAATATTTTCTAATATTTCTACCAGCGACCATTGTTAAAAAAAATGAAATCCTTATTTAATTTGCAATTAATTTGAACGCTTGATTTTTTCCGTCAGATGCACCGTTTTTATGTAAAAAAGTAAAAACTATTTTCATGCATTTGAGGTACAACGAAATTATTTTGAACTAGTGCCCTATTTTGTTTTTAATAATGACACATAATCGATTACGTTGCGGTGTTATTTTGACAAGTATTCAAAAACGGGATAGTTTTTTACATTGTGAAAGTTTCTTCAATCAATACCAAAGAGAAAATGCCAAGATTTACAAATTCCGAGTTAGCAGATGTTCATTTTAGTATTGATTAAAGAAGATTTTACAATGTAAAAAACGATCACGTCTATGAATAATTGTCAAAATAAGACTGTATTGTAGATGTCAAATGTCATTATTTTAAGAACAAAATGGGGCACCAGCCTGCTAGTTCAAAATAATTTCGTTATACCACAAATCCATGAAAATGGCTTTTATTTTTTTACGCGAAAACGGTGCATCGTACGGAAAAAGTTACGAGGTCAAATCTATTGAAAAATAAATGAGGATTTCAAAAATAATTTTTATTTTCGGAAAAAACAATGGGGTACCATATTTTTTTGATAAATCTCCGGTATACATATTCTACATCAAAAAATGCCTATTGGTGCATGTCAGATTGCATTAAAATATCTAGAACAGTATTAAAGTGATAAGACAACGATTTTTTTCTTAAAATTTTAACACCCTTTAGGTGCTCAAAAGTTAGGAGATTTAGGACATAGGTTCATATAAACTTTTCATCGTAAAATGAGCTAAGCAATCATATCATGTATTTTTAGCCATCAATTTCTATGTATAAAAAAATACCGGCAAAAAATGTATCAAGGCACTGTTAGCATTTACACCTCTGATGCTTGAACAGTAAGTATTGTTGGTAGCATCCTGTAAAATCTACTTTGAATGTTTTATACTATGGTCATGAGTCTGTCTCAGTCGACAATGTATTCCAAATCACTAAAGAGATAAAACCTTGTTCACTGATGTATGGAACTGATTGGATACTTCTTCTTGGATACTGATTCTAAAGGCAAACACTAGAAAACAAGTTGCAGCTTTAAGAAAAACTGGATTCATGTCACTATCTTGATTAAGCTAGTTTCACATTTCGGTCTGTTCCGGACAGACTATCATCTAATTTGCTAAGGGTACCTCCTATCACTCTATACTTACAACCTGTATAGGTTTTTTATTATACACTGCTGGGTGTCAAAATACAACGATGCATTTACCGTTATAATATTTCATAATAAAAAACTATAAATGCTGGATTGATTATATTCCAAATGATATACCAATGTCTTTAATCGCATTGAGATTCAATATCCGATTTAGATACGCATTCCACTACATAAATTAAATAAATAATTTAACGCAACGGCAAGAAATGTAAAGTTATTTTAAGCTGTACGTATTTGTAACTATTGGCATACAACAACCCGCATTGTAAAGTAACAGTAACTGCTCTCACAGTCTTGTCTATTAAATAATGAAAGTATGTTTCAAATGATAAAAAACAAATTGTGCATTTAAAAATACAGACACGTCATGAGAGAAACTATGAAACATCTTTTCATTGAAAGCACCTCGGAATATACTACGTTCACGTTGGCATTTTATTTTTGGCAAGACAAAATGGATATTCGTTTATGAAGAAAATATGTACTTGAGTGCCGAAAAACCTATTATTTTTTCAACAGTACCTACATGATATCATGTCGACAGTAATAAACACGTCATTGTGAACGTAGCATCAAAGCTGCTTGATATATAAATTCGGCTTTTAAAAGTGTGAAAGTGTTACAACTGACAAAAAAGCTGTCTTTTCGATATCTTAGGACAATTTTCAAGGTCTAGGTAAACTTTTTAATTGGTCCCTACTCTAAGTACTCAATGAAAGTATAGTCAGAGGTTTGCGAAGTGAAGTTAAATTTCTAGTGATCCTCTGCAATAAATAGGTGGGTGCTCAATTTTAGCAGCATTAGTTCTGTTGGAGTTTCATATATTATAAATCTCAGAGTGGTGCATGACATGTTCAGAACATACACTCAGGGAGCCCACAAAGTTTGGATTTTCCTTTACACGGTGAATAGATCTAGGAAAAATGAGCGTTTTTTTTGTTGGTAACATACAGGAAGTTAATTAAGTATGTATCATAAATTTAACAGACGACGAGAAATAAACAACATCACTCCGGAACTATGCAAGAGAGTGTTTCAGAATTTGCGCGCCCGATTTGAACGGAATGATAATTAAGGAATAAAACTATTTACGAAAAAAATTGCTTTGTAGTTGTGCTAATGAGCCACCTTTTTCCGTTTGATAAGAAATGAGGTAACGCCATAGGTAAACCAATGAAAAAATTTACCATTTCATCGTATTCATGGTACACTGGATTAAAAATTAAAAATATTTGGAAGTTAGACGTCAAAAGGTAGCAAATGCGGCGTGATTGTACTCCGAACGTCACTTTCTATTCAAATAAACAAAAATATACCGGGTGTCCCATTTAAAATAACAAAGTCGTTTCCTGCTAAACCGGAAGTGAGAGTAAACAATTGAATAAGTCAAACAGTGCGTATTTATGTGATATATCTCCATACCAAATATACCAATATACAGGGTGCCCGCAAAGTTGGGGTTTTCCTTTACACGACGTGTAGATCTTGAAAACATAAGCAATTTTTCTTAGTACCATATACACCAATGTCTTAAGGGAACCGAGGATAAAGGGCTCTGCAACATCGAAAATATCTGAATACCGTCCTGTAGCCGCGACTCGCGACATCCTCGAGTGGTACTAGGACACTAGCTCAACCTGACGACAGAACTGGGTCGGGGTCAGTGTGTCAGGTCAGTATGCAACCGTCAACCGACGGTTACGGTCACGCGTGTAGAGGTAATCGCGTAGACGAGAATCCCTCAAAAAGCACTAGAGACGTGGCTAGAGAAGTGCAAGTATCAAAAACTAAAGTGTGGCAAACGCTGCGTGAAGAAGGGCTGTATCCGTTTCACGTCCAACGTGTACAAGCCCTTCAACCTGACGATTTTCCAGCAAGAGTGCGGTTTTGTGAGTGGTTGTTGCATCAACATGATAATAATCCGGACTTTTTGAAGTGCATATTGGTGACAGACGAATCTACACTCACGCGTAAAGGGGTGAATAACTTTCGCAACACTCATGTTTGGTCAGTAGAAAATCCGCACGCTGTCCGTCGGGCACATTTTCAACAAACATTTTCGGTGAATGTTTGGGCTGGCATGGTGAACGGTATGCTCATTGGACCATTTATTCTCCCAAATCGATTGGACGGGATGCAATACCTAGACTTTTTACGCAACATTTTGCCTTCCTTGTTAGAAGATGTGCCATTAAGTGTAAGACAATCAATGTGGTTTCTGCACGATGGTCATATTTGTTACCTCTGTTTGTGGTCTGCACCACCGCCGGCGTCTGCTCGGTAGCGCATCAGCTGATTTCATTTTCTGTTGGAGCGGTATGATTTCGGGCAGAGACGTACTTAGCCCTTCTCGTCAACTGGGGAGTGAGTACTTTTTCCTTTATTTTTTTTTTACTTGGTCGCCCTCGTTTCACTACGCATTACCTTTGTTATTTCAAGGGTAGTTGTTTCTGAAAAGGAAAACCCCAACTTTGCGGACACCCTGTATATAGCTGTGAGCCACCTGCTAGGGAAACCCGGTATATCAACAGTTCAAAAATACTACCTGGCCGGATAATCTCTTTAATAATTCCCAAATATGTAGTCGGATATCCTACATTTCACCGAACTACTCAACTCTACATTTTTGAATAGTTTTTGGTTACGGTTCCCACAGGAGAGATGATAGAACGATTGTAAACTGTGTCCATAATTTGAACATTGTGTCTATGTGCCAATTTATCGTCCATATAATATCAAACGATACCCAGTTCTCCATGCTGTTAGCATGCGTCTAACATCTTAACATAAATTCATTAATTTGGACACTATTTTTATCAAATACACGCAAAACTGACCGCCTTTCACTCTTTCAAAAACCAACTGTCTCCTAGCTTATATTTTACATCAACAAAAACACTGATACATAAACAATTAAACGGCTGTTTCTCTAAATATTTTTACTGGATTATCTATGTTCTGTATGCATATGTACCGGCTGATAGTATTTGGATCCAAGTCTCCCTCTCCCTCTATTTTCGATACACTACAGTCCGACATTTTAACCGCACTGCATTCAGTCGAGCACAAGCCTATTTTAGGAAATCAACTTCTTTTAGTACCAACGTCTTTTGATCAATATTGCACAACTCTACGACATCAAAGGAACAAGCAAGCGGTTGAGAGATGCTTTCGAAAATAACCCCCGTGTTTGGCCAATAAAACCACATGTGTTTCCGGTTCAACATCAAACTGTTTTTCAGTCTTCATAGGATGAGCCTATTGAAACAGGAGAAAAAAATTGACTGGAATGACTCTCAACCACTGACTTCGTCACTGCACAAACTACAACACTGCAAGCCAAAAGGAGCAATCAAAATAAAACAAAACAAACTAAATCATGATATACTGCAGCAATGTATACCTTCGTGCAAATCGAATTTGATGCTACAACAGTGCTTTTTGGGGCTGTCATCCTTGCAAGTGCGTATGTCTTTTGTGATTTGCTTCAAGTTGTCCTGGGAACAGGTCAACCTGACCTGTTGATGTTTCATCGACGATTCGTTGTGAAACTCGAACCAGTCTTCATCCGACGAACTATGATGACTGTGTAATCTGTGTAGGGATCCCATTTCTTCTGTGGATATCAACCTCGCTCTAGCGGGTTTAGGAACTTCCGACATCGTTCTACACCGTAGGAACCTCGAGTTGTTCAGTTTAAAGGAATCGACATCCTCCGAAGCGGATCGCCTGATCATCTTCGGCGAATTTTGCAGCTCGGCTCTGATGATGCTCTCCAGTTTCGTCTTGAGTTGAGTGGGAGACACAGAGCCTTGCCTCGCTCTTTCGGCCATCTCTTCGGATTTTTCGATAGGAGACGAGGAATGTGAGTCGACACTTTCGGGCGTGTAAGGTTCATGCATAAGCATATCTCGGGTTATGGGTTGGTGCAACAATTTCGAATCTACCACGCTAGGGAAACTAGTTCTTATGTTCGTATTATCACTCAGATCGATAATATTGATCATTATAGAAGCGTAAGATTCGCAACACTGGCATTTTTCAGGCAAGCAAGCTAACGGGGCGTGATCACAACACACAAGTGTACCTGCGTTCTCCTTGAGGTCTACTTGGAGGTATACTGGCTGGAAAATGAGAGGTTTGCTATAGTCAATTTACGACTACTCGCTAGGCAAATGTCTGGTAACAGTATTTCTTACTAATTCCGTTCATTGGACTAAAACTCATACTTACTCGCAAAATCACCACTGCTGTTTTTAAACGTTCGACATTTTCATCAAAGTTCAATGAACAATTTTGGGTGTTGTATTTTATATGTCACTTAGTATACAGGGTGGCGCATCGAAAACGAAACAGACGCATTTACTGGCAGCTCAGTTTTTTTTTTGAAAAACGCTCAGACCCGTCGATTTTGTTTTCGAGGGGGACACAAGTTTGGCAAAAAATCACGTTAGCACGTGCAGCCCCCTAAGCGGGGGTGACTCCACCCCCAAAATCTTAAATGGAAAGGGGGGTCGAGTGATACCTTATTTTCAAGATCTTTCAATTCCCTTTATAATGGTATAAAATTAATGTGCTTCAGTTCAGTAGTTTTGAAGATTTATTGATTTAATAATAATAATAATAATGTTTATTGTCACAAAATACAAGTAAATATCAAATATTGTGCACAATAAACATAAAGCACCCAAAAAAAGTTTGCACTTGTGTTTGGGTTTGTACAAAATAAAAACTAATAGGACAGTCAGTGTATGAAAAAAAAAAGAAAAAACCCGTTAATACTGTATAATTTGGTGAATTATTATGGTAATGTCAGGAAAAATATCAACATAATTAGAACTGAAGTAAAAGTATGGATGTTAGTGTAAGTAAAATATTATTGATTTTGATAATGATTTTTCAGATCTACAATTTCGTGGATGGAGTACCTTGGTTGTTGTAAAATCCATTTTTTTAGTTGTTTTTTAAATGATTTATTTGATTTAATTACTTTTAATGACTCTGGTATGAAGTTATAGAATTTTGGTCCCAAGAAAAACAGAGATCGTTGTGTAATAGTTTTTGATGTTTGTGGAATACACATTGAATTTTGATTGAATCTTGTTGGGTAGTTATGAATGGTACGATTAAAGTATTTTGAATATTTGAAATAATGTATTAGACCACAATAAAAATAAATTTGTCTGCAATCTAATAGCTGAGCCTCCACATATAGAAAATCACTTGAATAAGTAATCTCCCTATGGAGGATCAATTTTAGAATTAATTTTTGGATTACCTCAACCTTTTTGTAATTATTATTCATAACTCCCCCCCAAGCCAAAATTCCGTAAAGTAATAGAGGATAAACAAGAGCATAATATAGATTATATAGATATTTCTTATCTAGAATATCTCTGAAGTACCTGAATTTTGGAATAATACATCTCAGTCTCTTCACAAGGTACTCTGTATGGGTATCCCATTTTAAGTGTTTGTCCAAAATCACGCCTAAGTATTTTATTCTATCGGCTGACTGAATCTCTTTGAGACCACTGCTTGTATGAATTTCAAGTTTTTTAAATTGAGGTGAGAGCCTGTCGTTACAAGAAAATGCTATATAGTGTGTTTTGTTGTAATTAATTGTCAAAGTTCTTTCTGAAAAGAAATTTATAAATGTTTTGAAATCATGTTCGATTGTGGTTTTTAGTGTATGCCACTGGTTGCTTTCATAGAGAATAGCTGTATCATCCGCAAAACCGATAACTTTACCTGTACTACTTATTTTGAACAAATCGTTGATAAATAGATTAAATAAAATGGGTCCCAATACTGAGCCTTGAGGTACACCGTATGATATAATATGGGGTTCACTGAGTGTGTTATTAATTTTGACGCATTGTGTTCGATTTGACAAATAATTTTCTATAAGTTTGTATGTTATTCCCCGGAAACCTAAGTTTTCTCAAGTTGTTAAAAGTGATTCATGAGTAATAGAGTCGAATGCCTTTGCCAAGTCAACAAAAACACAAGCAGTTGGTTGGCCAATATCGAGATTCGTGTATATTTTATTTGTTAATTTTACAATAGCATCTTGAGCAGATTTGCCTTCTTGAAAACCATATTGCTCTTCCGCTATTAAGTTATATTTTTTTGCAAATTCGGTGAATCGTTTTTTTAACACTTTTCCAAATATTTTAGAAAAATTTGTTAAGATGGAAATTGCCGCAGATGATTTATTCTCTTGAGAGTATACGCTGTTATATTATCTAGACCTGGAGATTTTCTTAATTTCAATTCATTGATTATTGTCTTTATTTCATGCGTATCGGTCGGTTCCAGATATAATGAGTTATATAATCTGGTCTTACTATAATTTAATTTCTCCGCGTTTTTTATGCTTTCTGACAACCTTTTCCCGATTTTTGAAAAATATTCACAAAATTCATTTGCTATATCTACATCGTTACTCACTAGTTCACCATTTTCTTTTTTAATTGTACTAATTTTGTTGTTTTGCCATGTATTTTATTGATAAATTGCCACATTTTGGACGAACAATTTTGTAGATTATCAAACTCGTCTTGGAGATATTTAATTTTAGCCTCTTTAATTATTTTTGTCAGTCTGTTTCGATATGATTTAAATTCATTCAAAAGTTTAACATCATAAGGATATTTTTTGGTTTCATTATATAATTCTATTTTTTTGTTGATGGAGGTAATAATCCCTTTTGATATCCATGCTTGTCTTTTTATTTGTGTTCGTGGAATCTTTACTGTTTTGGTGCATTCAGCAATATGGCCTTCAATGCTAGATATAAAAAGGACAAATGCATTTTCAATATTAGGTTCGTTATATACTACAATCCAATTTTCATTCAGTAAGTTGTTATTTAGTTTTTCATAATCAATGTAAATTTTAGTATTATTCACTGTCTTTTCAATTTTGGTTGATGTACTTTCAAGATCGATTTTGAGCAAAGTAGGAAAATGATCAGAAATTTTGTATTTTAGAATTGCTGAATATATTTTGTCAAGTTCTAAACGTGAATTTATAAACATATGATCTATACAACTCCCACTGTTTCCTCCTACTCTTGTCATTTCGTTAATGGCTGACAGGTAACCATGTTCAGCCATTATATTTAAATAATCTTGAATATTTTGATTGTTATGATTTAATATGTTAATGTTAAGGTCTCCAATGAATAAGTTGATGTCAAATTTTCTACTGCTTTCTAGATAATCATGTAATTGACCGTTAAATGTCGTTACAGATATACAGGGTGATTTGTACACACCAATGATCTGTATCCATTTATTATTCTTTTGAAGAGTAACTCGTAAAAGTTTTGTTTGAGTTATATTAATAATTTCATACCCACTGTTCAAATTTTGTCTTACGTAAATCAGAACCCCGTCATTTTTATTAAAATTACCATCGTTATAATATAAATCATAATTGGGAATTTCGATCAAACTTTAAATTTTTACCTCTTGAAAATTGTCTGATCCCCAATTGTGGATATCCAAATGTAGTCTAGGAACAAACTCAAGAGCAGCGACAAATTATTTGATTCGTAGTTTCGGCAATATGGTGATGGAACTGTGGAAAAGGTAGATAATAAGTGTATGTATGTATCTAGTTATGTTACTTTATAAAGCTTGAATAAAACTAATACATCATCATTAGTGGAGATCAATACATTTGGCAGCAAAGTAATTTAAAAATGAAGAATGAACTGACCCGTTAGGCAAGTAAATGTTGAAAATGGCCACCATGACTCTCCATGCAATAATAAAGATTTTGCTCAAAACGTGGCCGCACATTTTGCAATATTTGAGGAGTAATTTGAAGGCACTCATTCACAATTCTATGTCGCAGGTCTTCTAATGATGTTGGCTGAGTAGTATAGATTTTGCTTTTTAAATGACCCCACATAAAGTAATCCAAAGGTGATAAATCTGGCGATCTTGGGGGCCATTCAATGGCACCTCTTCTACCAATCCATCGATCTGGAAACGTCTGATCTAAATATTGTCGAACGCGTAATGAGTAATGTGGTGGAACAGATCTTAGACAACATGCCATTAAACGGAGACAGCATTTGTGGTTTCTTCTTGACGGGGCACCACCACACATTGTTAGAGGCGTCATTCAGTATTTGAATGAACATTATCCGTCCAAATGCTCCTGATCCTCGAAAATGGGCAGCAAGATCTCCTGACCTCAATCCGATAGATTTCTGGTATTGGGGAGAACTTAAAGGGGTCGTTTATGGGGTTGGTCCAATAACAACTGAAGCACAACTTAGCGAAAAACATTTGCGGCTGAAATAATAAATGGATAACTTCGAGAACCTAGAGTAAAAAGAAACTGGGTTCGTCGTAATGAAACTTGTGTGGAAAGTGGAGGACATTTTGAACACCTTTGAATACAAAAAAGTGCAGTGTGAGTTTTAAAAAGAAAAACAATGTATGTATCAAAATAGTGTTACCTATTTATAAGTAGATTTTTTTTAATACGTTCAATAAACTTTCACACACCAGGTGAAGCGCTGAGACAGTAAGTCCGTTTTTTTTATTAATTGTTTGCATTTTACGAGTACATTATCAAATAATGAAATAATACCTAAGAGTCAAAAATAACAAACTCCATCTTTATTTACACTGCGGCATTGCGGCGTTGTCAGATTTTATTTTACTTTAAAGTCGCTTTTCTCTAAAAAAATGCCCATGTTATATGGAACTTTTTGTTTCATTTAACCCCATCTATCACCCATTTAAATAGTGACTATCATAACGTTTACACCCTGTGTATCCGCCAAAGCCGTCAAGCCAAATCCAAACTTTTTTTTTAAGTTTCTAAGTATACTTTATCTGAAGTCACTTGAAACACTGTGAAATACCGGGTGCGTTTTATATATCTATATTTAACACGCTCTGTTGCTGCAAAAATCGCCAAATTTCGCAGCAAATATATATATATATATATATAAGATCAAAGGCAGTTTCACCGGTCCACGTGGAGTAAAGCACGCCTATGCGTGGACATAGCCAATGAGAAAGCGTGTATTTCAGAGCTCTGAACAAGTGCAGGTGGCTACTGAAAATTGAAACAGTTTAGCCAGTGCCGTGTAGCGGTGAATAAACGTGTTTTCTTTAGTCTGTCCGTGTTTTTCCATAGATTTTATTAGTTTGTGTGTTTTTGACTTTTGAATACTCAGTTTACTTGTTGATTTAATTGTTGTGTTGATTGTTCTTGTGTGTCCTAAATATGGCTCTTTGGAGACCTTGGGAAAATGCTCCAAGCCACGAGGAGATGGTTGATGAACCTGTACAGGCAGAATTCTTTCATAAAGATTTAGAGGAACAGACCCAAAGAGTAATCCTAAATATGTATGATTGTCTGAAAAACGAAAATCCAGATTCCTCGCAAAATCAAATTTTAAACAGAATTTGTATCCTGACAAAAATCAGTCGGTCTACCATTTATCGGGTTATAAAAAGGGGAGATGTAGTCAACCATTCCTTCAACAGAAAGCGCATAGGGCAAAAATTAAAAAGAATAGACGTGGGTTTTCAGGAAGATATTCGTCGTATAATATACGGATTTTATAAAGAAAAATTTGGTGCCCACGTTGGAAATGATACGGGATAAATTAAAAGATTATCCTGAAGATTTTTATAATTACAAATGCTTAGACTCACTGCACTGTATTGTAAAACTGTGTGGTTTTCAATACAAAAAATTAGATAAAAGAACGGTGATTATGGAGTCGTCTCCAATCGTTGAGAGCAGAAAAGAAATCTGATTTACCTGGATGAAACGTGGTATGATACCCATGATGTTGTGCAGTACGGCTGGGTTGACGACAGCAACAAGTGCATTTTAAATGCACCATGCAACCGTGGAAAACGAATCATTATTCTCCATGCTGGCAGTGAAAATGGATTTATACCTAATGCCTAGCTCATATCTGCCAAAAATATCAAAGAATCATGTGCCGACTATCATGAGGACATGACCTCCGACTTATTTGAAAAGTGGATAGAGCAGCAGTTAATACCAAACATTTCCCCAAATTCAGTGATTATTATGGACAATGCGCCATACCATTCCCGACAGAAAAACAAAATTCCGAATACAGGCACAAAAAAACAAGTCATTATTGATTTTATGAAGGATAAGGGAATGGAAATACCACAAAAATCAACCAAAGCCATATTATTGCATCTTATTAAAAGACAAAAATTTGAAAAAGAGTATGTTGTTGACAATCTGCTTCAGCAAAATGGCCATGAAGTATTACGTCTACCTCCCTATTACTGCATTTTTAACCCGATTGAGTTGGTCTGGGCTGCTTTAAAAAAAAAAGTAAGAAAACATAATCAGACCCCTCAATTAAGTGAATCGCTATTGGCCACAATAAGAGATGCAGTATCTCATATTGCTGCCACAGACCTATGGAAGCAGTGTTCTAGGCATATTATTGAAAAAGAAAATGAATATTGTGTTTTGCCTCCTGTAAATCCCGTTGTAATTCCTCTACAAGATGACTCTAGCGACAGCTCCGAAGGCGAGGATGATATATAAATACCTATAATGTAAGTCTTTATATACCTTTTTATATACCTACCTGCTATCTAAATATTTGCCTATGTCAAACGTTGGAATTCTGTAATTTTTCCATTTCTTAACTTTCAGTCAACATAAATTAAACTCCTAATATAAGTATTTTTTATCCCAAATCAAAAAAATAAGAAGATAGTAAAATCCATTTATTGTGATATAAAAACATTATTATTATCGTTCTAAATAAATGACCGCACGCCTATGATACGTCATGAAATTACAAAGGACGCGCCGACCAAAGGTTTTTATGCTATTTCAAGTGACTTCAGATAAAGAGTACACGTATGAAGCTGAGTAGATTTATGAGCACCGGAACATGCCCATCTCATATTCATTTCAAGTGGATAGTTCTCATTGAATTTTGAAAATCCAGGTTGCTTACCCTATCTGAGCTTTCTATTTGAACTAAAGAAACTCTTAAAGAAAAAAAACGCTTTCATTAGTTTTGGCCGAACAAACTTATGTAAGAAATCGATGTTACCAGATATTTGCCAGACATGAATTTGACAAATGCTTTTCGGTATAACTTGATGGATGATTGGCTACTCTCAACCTTCAAAAATGAGGCATTTCTACGATAATCTAACCCCGACTTCACTTTAACTAAATTAAGGTAGTATGCTAAAAATGCAAAAAGCATCCGTGAATAACGCTGCTTCAAGTGATAAGTGCCCAAAATAACGCAAGTAGCTAATGATGTGGAAGCAAAATTCCTCAAAGATAGCCTTTAGCTAAATAGTGAGTAAGGAACTGTCCATAGATCAGTCGAATCACATACAAGTGCCTCTGAATCAAAAAAGTACCTATTGCGCATGTTCATTTTTGATTACTTGTTTCAATAAATCATCAAAAAGAAAAAATATTTAGTCGTAAATATTCTTAATCAAGAAAGAAGAACTTAAATGGTTAATAGAATTTAGTTGAGTAACTTTTTCTGGTTGTTGATTGACTTGATCACCTAAAAGACCAAGTTTCCTGTTTTTTATCATTACTTATACCATTATGATTCTATACAAGGTGTCCAATATAAGGACCCTATGCAATACTTGTGAGAGAAAGTATATAGACAAAAACAATATTGTGCTGTATTTCTTTTTTAACTTGTTTTATTAATACACCAACCTTTATACACAATTCTTTATAGCATAATACTCACTTATATATAAATAAACTCATTAGACTCCCTTCAATGAAAAATTAATTGAAAAAAACTAGAACTATGAAGGACAAAACTATATAGACAAAGCAAAACAATTATAGAAAACAGAAGCAAAGTTCATTGAATTATAGAAAACCAACCATGTTTGTGTTAATATTTCGTAGCATAACCATTATTATCAATCACTGCCTGGCATCGTCTCGGCATAGATTGTAAGTTTCTTGATATAAGATTCATCAATCTGTCACCACTTTTGCTCTAAAGTGGCAAAAAGTTCATCCTTGTTTCAATAATTTATATCTCGTATTTGCATATCTAAGTATTCTCATAGATTTTCAATGGGGTTTATATCGGGAGACTGTGAAGGCCATTTGAGAACTGGTATTTTTTCATCCAGGAGGAATTTCTTTACGAGATTTGAAGTGTGCTTCGGGTCCTTATCTTGCTGGAAGATTGATCTTAAGGGCATATTGTCTTCCATATAGGGTAACATGACATGCTTTAGTATGTCTGTGTATACAAACTTATTCATAATGCCATCTATTCTATGTAAAGGTCGCATCCCAAACCCCGAAAAGCACCCCCTAACAGATCTAGCATTTAGTTTTCTAGGCCGACCACTTCTCTTAGAGGCTTCCAAGATACCTTTTTGTTTATATTTGTTGAATATTGCCCAAACTGCTTTACGCTTCAGCTTCAAATTTTTGGCAATGTAGACTTGACGTTGACCATCTTAGTATAACTCAATGATCTTCGGTTTCACATCGAAATAAATTTCTGGACCACGTGGCATGGTGTTAAAATCACAATATTTGATGAACACAAACTAATCCTCTTCTGACACGAAACTGCACTAAACTAATGTTGAAAAGAATTTGTCTACATATTTTTGTCCCTCATAAAAAAGTGCTTATATTCAGACTTATATTGTGATCATTGCAGATAATGTAAAAACAAGGAATTTAGTTTTTCTACTAATAACGCATTTGTTTATGGAGCAATGAAGTATGAATTCGTTTTCCAAAGGTATTTAGGTAAATATTCATATTTGTCTATACATATACTTTTGTCCATTACTGTACATAGGAAAAAGTTACATGGCGTTGAGAATCTTGTAAAAATGTAAATATCAAAATATCACGTTTTAGGCACTACATGGTGTTGTTTTGAGAAATCATCATCGGCTATTTTTTGTACGGTCCGAAAAAAAAGTACATCCCTTAACCGATACTATATTTGTTTCCTTAGTTATAAAGAAAAATGTGTTTGTGATAAAGTCAGAAAAAATAAAAACTATTGAGCCAAATTTTATTTTTTCCAAAATAAGCCATGAAATGTTTACAAGTTTCTCAACGACACGTAAATACGCCCCAGAGAACGCAGCTATTTCCTAATTTATCCTAAGCTGTATCTCCCATGCATGAGTTCCTCAACTTGGTCACCCTGTATATTATACTCATTTATGTAATATTATTGCACTATAAAGATCAAATCAGTACTTCGCCCGTTAACGATAAATGTTAAGTTATAATTATTCTGTCGTAATAAAAGAGGATTACATAGTACTCGAGATCGAGGACAATATTCAATAATGATCCATTAACTAAATGATGGGACAATAATGGTTCGGTAAAGCCTCCTTCAAGGCAATTTTTAAAAGATACCGAAATATTCGCAACTTGAATTACATTGCGACGAGCTGGGCTGCGTGAAATCAAATATCTACCACTACAGGTTTCAGAAACATATAAAAGAAGAAAATACCTTATTCACTAGTAATCAGATGAAAATCCAGAAAAACTGGCTGCATAGGAGGAAAATAAAAGAAAGAAAAGTCAAAAATTAAGCATAAGCGGAAATTTATCTGCCTTTCGTGGTCAGCTTAAACAGTAATTGCATAATGTTCTACAAAATACGTTTTTTCGTATCAGCAGATCACGAAAATGCGAAACTACAAAAATTTTAAGCATAGACAGCAATTTTCAACGGTATTTCTGCGATACGAGTAAAAATGACAGGTAGGTCGATCGTATCTAACTTTGTAAACTTGGTTAACAATTGTTTACAGGATTAGAATTTAAGTAAAGGTTCCAGCGCTAGATAAAAAATAGTTCAATCTGGTAGGAGCAAATTAATTTAATACCAAATTTCACTATTACTTTCAGCAATTAACGTTAACACACCGCAAACCCAAAAATAACCTCAAATTCGTAATACTTAATTCGTGGTTACAGACTCGTTGGTCCATACGATAGTTCAACACATCAAATCCTGGAAACAAATAACTGCTGATCTCTCACTAGCATTAAAAAATCCCCATATCATCAAGTAACTGTACTAGCTCCTTGAATATCTTCCAGAATCATGGCTTCAACTTTTTAAGTCACTTCATCATTTGTTGCAGTTTTGGGTCTTCCGCTTCTGGGATCGTCTCCTATGGATTCACGCCCCAATTTCGACCAAAATCTCATTGTGTATGATGTGCATCATCCTATAGACTCAAGAATCGTTTTCCGCTGATGGCGCTTTTTTGTCAGAATTTTATAAATTAGAAACCGATTATCAAAATTAGGTCAAATTTTGCAAGTATGGTTAGCCCACATCCCACTATTTGACATATTATGCTTGTGCGTCCCTCGTACTTGCCACGTTTGAACGAAAACCAGTGGTATGGTTTTTCGTTATGTCATATAACATCCAAAGGCTACAATATCTCATTTTCGAAAGTTTTTAGGAGTTCAAATCCTCGCCCAGTTGCGGTGGTGATGTTAGAATTCGACAACATGTGACTTCCACGTGATCAACCAACCCTTCATTGATTGGTAAATCCGATTACAAATGAGTCAATTTAATCCAATATATGGTGAAAATAGATCCGATACGAGAGTGAACGAGTTCACTCTTAATAACAGTACAAAATTAGCATAAGGCCGTACTTAAATAGACTTGTATTGAACTATCAAGGTGAATAGTGTAGACTGTAGCGTTAAATTACAACGTTTTTGAAGTTAACTCATTGTTGGTTTTATATTCTGCAACCACCATAGAACTATTTTTTATTTATAAACTATAAAAAAACAAGTCTGCGCATGCTTAACAAAAAAAGATGAGGAAATACGAGGGCGGTTCGATAAGTACTTATCGTAGCACCCTCGTAAATGTTTTCCGTCCTCCCTGTCATTTCTACCGCGCAGAGCTTCAAGTGATTGCGCAGATTCAGTCAAATATAGCAAAAAATTCTTACTTCTTACCCTGAACACATTAACACGGACCGCTGGAATCATGCTAGTTAGAAAATAGTCCACTTTCAAAGCAGTGTAATACGTAATACAAAAGCGATATATACAAAACGCGTATACGACCATCATCTTACCTTATGGTCTCCCATACAAGTATTGACGCCCATCAAACTGTACTCGACCTCCTTGGTCTCGTCAACTAGCTGTTTGGCGTTGTTGCTGAGCAACACTCGATCGCACCACGCTGGACATCTGGTTTGCATGTAGCAAGTCGGACGGGAGATTTTCTCCTCGAACGGATAGGAAGGGGGGAAGGTCACTGGAAATTCAGTCAGGGTATCTTCGAAGGCTTCCAGCTCCTTGTCGAACGTCTTCAGCTGTAACAGAGAGAACGATATGAGCGATAACACTGGACAACAAATTTTAGTTTTTTAATTGTATCTTGTGGGAAAAGTGCACTTCTTTGTTAATTTTGGGGCGCTGAATCCAAAAATGACAATTAAATAAAAAAATTAGTTGCGGTTTAGAAAAAAACTTTTTATTTTTAAGGATATATTAAAAAAAGTAACAAGATTCATATACTTATAAGAATCACTACATGCGCTGTCTTTTTGCTGTTCTTTTATGGATCGTTTCTGGAGCATCACTACCAAGAGTCCAACAGTAGTCTGCAAGCATGGAAGGATTCCACTTTCCCTGGTACCTTTTTCCATTGTTGAAATATCCCGATGAAAACGTTCGCCGTGCTCATCACTTACGGCTCCGCAATTGTTAGGAAAAAAGTCCAGGTGTGAGTGTAGGAAATGTATCTTAAGAGACATATTACAGCCCATCTTTTGATACGATGACAGCATATTTTTGACAAGGGTTTTATAGTTGTCAGCTTTTCTATTTCCCAAGAAATTAGTGACCACCAGACGGAAATCATTCCAAGCAGTTTTTTCAATACCTGTTAAAGTGTTTTCAAACTGTGTATCTTTCAAAATATTTCGAATCTATGGCCCAACAAAAATACCTTCTTTAACCTTTGCCTCACTTAGTCTTGGAAATTTCTGACGCAGGTATTGAAAAGCTGACCCATCTCTATCTAATGCCTTGACAAAGTTTTACATTAGGCCCAACTTGATGTGCAGTGGTGGTAATAAATTTTTTTTCGAATCTACTAATGGCATATGCTGTACATTTTTTTGACCTAGCTCTAGGAATTGACGAACAGGCCAGTTTTGTCTGGTGTAATGAAGTGCCTTTGCCCGACTGTCCCATTCACACAAAAAAACAGCAAAACTTTGTGTAGCCTAGCTGCAGCCCAAGTAAAAGTGCAACAACTTTCAAATCGCCACAAATATGCCATTGGTGCTCATCGTATTTTATGCATGTCAATAGGTACTTCATATTGTCATATGATTCTTTCATGTGAACTGCATACCCTACAGGAAGAAATGGTAAAATATTTCCAATATGCAATAACACTGCCTTTAAACACAATGTTGAACTGTCTATAAACAATCTCCATTCTTCTGGGTTATAGTTTATATTTAAAGCCGCCAGTAAGCCGTTAATGTTACTGCAGAAAACCAAGTTATTCTCCATACTGAAAAATGGTTCTAAGTCTTTGTGGCGTTTACGAAAAACACATACCGAAACATCGTCTTCTAACAAGTTCCACTGCTGCAGTCTTGATCCAAGTAACTCTGCCTTACATTTTGGAAGTTCTAAATCTCTTACAAGATCATTTAATTCTGACTGTGTTATTTTGTGCGGTTGGTGGCATGACGTGCTCGGTATAAAATCAGGATCTCTTGACGTTGATGGCATATCTTCTTCCTGACGAACCACTCGATCGCCATGATCTGATTCGTTTTCTGATTCGCAAGTATAGGATTCTGGGGGTTTTGGAATAGGATTTTCGTCACTGTGAGGCACAGGTCTCATCGCAGATGGTATGTTTGGGTAGTTAATAACAGATTTTTTTTCTTGGACATACCTGTGGCTTGTCCAATACAAGGTACCATGCAAAAGTAACAATCATTAATATGATTTGTAGGCTCTCTCCAAACCATTGGGACAGCAAAGCGCAAAGACCGTTTTTTGCCATTTAACCAGCTCCTCACACTTGAAGCACATGTATTACAGCAGATGTGGGGTGCCCACTGTTTGTCTTGATCACCTAGTTTACAACCGAAATAAAGCTGATATGCCTTTGTTATTAGTGGAGTAATAGACCGTCTCTGAGACGCCAAAGTCACATCACCACACACGTAACAAAACTGATCTGTATTGTTTACACACTTTCGAGACATCTTGCATGAACGCTGTCAGCCAACTGAGGAAAAGATGGCTAATATAAAACAATATAATATACACGTATGTATAACGTAACACAATCATGCCGATTACATCATCTTTCCTTGCCGAATATAAAAATGTAGCACGTGCATTCTTGTGAATTACAGTATATTAACACTGTCACAGCAGGAACACATATAATTACCGTATCTCTAAAACTTGAACTAATATTGAAAAAATAAGTTTCATTCCGGTTTTAGCACATTAAAAATAGTAATATTTTGTTGATTTTATTTAGGATATTTTTTGGCTGTTGATCAGTGTAATCCAAGATTTTGGAGACTCGGATATTCAGGGTGGCCCATCCAAAAGGTCGCCCCCCATTTGTGGTATATTTAGAGAAAGACGCTCGAACACGTCAATTTTTATTTCTAAGATACTGCTTTACACTTTGGATTTTTAGATAATAGAAATAAGTATGGGAAAAATATTTTATTATATCAAAATACTCAGAAATACATGCCATTTGAGTAAAACAAAATTTACGTTCTAAAAACTATGTCGGCCATATGACGCCCTTGAGCAGAAATGCAGGAATGAAGCCTCTCCCGAAATGAGCTCAGCATCCGTGCAGGAATTTGGGTTACTTTACTTATTTCCTCCTTCAAATCGGCGAGGGTCCGCGCCTTGCATTGGTAAACTTTTGATTTCAGGTAGCCCCATAGAAAAAACCACACGTTGACAGGTCCGGGGAGCGAGGCGGCAATGGAATATCAATGGATTTCTCCAAGGCCTTTGATAGAATTGATCACGCACTGATGTGTGCTAAGCTAAAATTTTATAGTTTTGATAAAATAGCACTGCAGTTTTTTAAATCATACCTAAGCCACCGTTCTTAGCGCGTCTCGCTTTCTGGAGTTTTGTCAAATGAGCTCTTTATTACTTCTGGTGTGCCTCAGGGCTCAATTTTAGGACCCTTGTTATTTTTAATTTACGTAGCCGATATTGCTAAGTCCATTCAAAATTCACAGCTACAGTCTTATGCGGATGACACTCAACTACTTTAAGATTATTGGCCTTAAGGGACCGTTTCTCCACTACCAGGTCCATTGCAAATGAATGGTTTGCAGAACACGGAAGACCTATTGGCATGCGAAGTGTTTACCGACGAATGAGAAGTATTGGCTTGTTTTCATACCGGCCACACTGGGTCCTCCCTTTAACTCGAGAACACCGACGTAATCGCCTTGAGTGGTGCAGACAACGGTCACTCTGGGATCATGAATGGAACAGTATTGTCTTTAGTGACGAGTCTCGATTTTGTTTAGGCATGCACGATGGTCGTGCCAGGGTTAGAAGGCGACGTGGTGAAAGGAGGAATCCACAGTTTTTTGTTGAAAGACATGTTCATCACACTGTTGGAGTTATGGTTTGGGGTGCTATAGGTTATGGTTCCAGGTCACCTTTAATCTTTATCAGAGGTAACATGAACGCGCAGCGTTATATCCACGAAGTTCTAGAACCCCATCTTTTACCCTATCTTGACACCCTGGCAGATCCAACTTTCCAACAAGATAATGCCCGACCACATGTTGCAAGAGTCACAATAGACTTCTTTCAACATAATGATGTCACATTGTTACCATGGCCACCAAGATCTCCCGACTTATCCCCAATTGAGCACGTGTGGGATATGATGGATAGGAGATTGCTCAATTTGCAACGTCCTCATCAGACTCTAGAAGCACTTCGAGAGGAGTTGGTGGTTGCCTCGAATGAGATACCACAGGAGGACATTGACCACCTGATCAGAAGCATGCCTACGCGCGTTGGAGAATGCGTAGCACATCACTTATTATGCTTCATTAAGTACTTATACAAAATTTTATTAAAATAAAACCATTTAAACTGGATGTTCGGATTTATATGTCACTTAGTATACTTATAGTTAATATTTTTGTCTGGATGTAACGTATTAAACAACCGGGCATTAGCTCTTGCAATGCTCCCATTCTGGTAATACAGTTTTGTTATTTCTACCCTTTCTTGAATTGAATACGGCGTTGCTCAATATTTGTCACAGCTAGCTAGGTAAGTTAACAATTTGAAATGAAAGACAAAGTTTTTATATGACATACGATGACACTAACTGATGCTAAATGTTCTTGCAAAACTCAAAAAGCTTCGCAACGATTGAAGATTGGTATAAACTTTGTTAGACAAAAGTTACTAAAAACTTGACGTGTCCGAGATTTTTTCCCAAAATATACCAGGAGAGTCACAAATGGGGGTGCGACCTCTTCGTTGGACCACCCTGTATGAGTATGTAACAATATGTATTTAGAATCTAACGTAGACACCAAATATTGAATAATATGCCGGGTGTTCTATTTAAAAAAAGCAAGTTAGTAACTACTTCTGGTATAACTCTAATAAATATAAATTTCAGTCGAGGCTGTGAGGATGGGTGATCTGAATTTTGTTCTCTTAAATCAGTCGTTTTATCCATTTTGAGGCGGGTTCGGTAGTACAGCGTTGTTGGAAGTGTGGGAAAAAAGTTTTAAAAACATGGAAAACAGGGAACTATTTCATATTTTTACGTGCTGAATTTGTCCTTAAATTTTCCTGAAAATTTGTACCTGTATAGCAACAAAAACGATTTCAGAAATAAATGACTTCCATATAAAACAGTACACTGAAAACCATATATCCGAATTTTTTAATTAAGGTCCTAATTTAACATCACTAACACTTCATTTATCCAATGATTTTTCAACGACTTTCCTGTAGGTCACGAAAATTATTTTTACCACCACAATAGCGGTGAAGCCGTTCCGCATTTTTCAACCAGCACATTTACAGACAATAAATAACTGTATATGATATTATCTTTTTATGAAGGATTATCATTCGCACCAATAATCATGAGTAAGTGGAACGATGTATTAAATTTGAGCGGCTACACATTGAATTATGCTAATGACGTCACCGATTCGACCACTGACGCATTTTCATAATCAAATTACAGCTTATGAAAGCACTGGAATGTTATCAAAGAGCCATAAATGATTGTTCAACTCGGCGCGAAACA